TTGTAAGAGAATATCTAGTGAGTCCAATTGCTAATTTAGCAGTAACATTTAGTGTAACATTCATTTACTAAATTATTAGACTCCAGATTTTTCTTTTTTCTTTCTTTCTTTCTTTCTTTCTTTCTTCCTCCTAACAGATTGTCTCTCCAACTATAACATCTTACTTAATCCAACTTACATGGTTAACTAAAGACTGTATCTGGCTTTCTGGGAAATTAGGTCAAATTTTTATCTAGGTCAAAGGTCAAGAACTAGGTCAAATCTTACATTTTCAACATTCTTCATCATATCTTCGTCAATATTCTTCGTAACTCCTTCATCTTTTTTTCATTGTGTAGGTTAAAAAAAGGCGAATCAAAGATATGACATCAGAATTTTGATTATTCTTACCGATTTTGAGATATGGCGTCCGGAAAGTAGGTCAGAACAAAAAGTTCTCCAAATTCAACAGGTGAGTTATGTGAATAAGTGTAGAATGATCTCAGGAATCCGAATCTGCAAACCAAATTTGGATCGGACTTCCGGTTCGGAAGTTATTGCGTTTTGAAAGCTCAAAAATCGCTAAATTTGGTACCTATGTTAAGTCAATGGGAAAAAGACTTTTTCGAAGTGTAAAATACAAGATATAGACTGAGTACAGCTTAACATAATGAATGCTTATAAAAGAAGGGGACCTCAAAAGCTACATAGCTTCAAAATTTGGACACCAAAATGCCTAGGTCAAAATCTAGGTCAAATTCATAGTTTTTCCTTATTTTTACAATTCTGACACTACATTTTAATAATTTACTTCAAAATTTTCTATACAGGTAGCATAGAGTGTGCTTATAGTGTTAGCCTTTTGCCGTCAGAAAGTATTTTGACCCACTTTTGAGATATGGTGTCCGAAAAGTAGGTCAAAATAAAAAGTTCTCCAAATTTAACATATGAGCTATGAATTAAGAGTAGAATTTTCCCAGGAATCCGAATCTGCAAACCAAATTTCAATCCGACTTTCGGTTCGGAAGTTATGGCGTTTTGAAAGCTCAAAAATCGCTAAATTTGGTGCCCCATGTTATGTCAATGAGAAAAAAGATTTTTTTGAAGTGTAAAATACCAGATATAAACTGAGTACAGCTTAACATTCTAAAAGCCTATAAAAGAAGGGGACCTCGAAGGCTATCTAGCTTTAAAATTTGGACACCAAAATGCCTAGGTCAAAATCTAGGTCAAATTCATAGTTTTTCCTTATTTTTGCGATTCTGACACTACACTTTAATAATTTACTTCAAAATTTTGTATACAGGTAGCAAAGAGTGTGATTATAGTGTTAGCCTTCTGCCGTCAGAAAGTATTTTGACCCACTTTTGAGATATGGTGTCCGAAAAGTAGGTCAAAACAAAAAGTTCTCCAAATTTAACGTATGAGTTATGGATTAAAGGTAGAATTTTCTCAGGAATCAGAATCTGATATCAGAATAAATTTTGATCCAACTTCTGGTTAGATAGTTATAGCGGTTTGAAGTCTCGAAAAGTCGATATGATGATATTCCCATGTTAAGCCAATGGAGTCGAAGATACCATTCTTAAGAGTTGTCTAAATGTCTATATTCTAGCTGACTCAGCTTATTCTGAATGACTCAGCTTACAAGTATTTGGATGACTCAGCTTAAAAAAAGTCTGAAATCTGGAGTCTTAAATTGAACTTGTTCAATTTACATGTCTAGTTCTATTTTAGATGTCATCGCAAAAATGGCACGGAAATCCACCCCACACGAGCAGAGGATGTTTGTTTAATCCAAAAGTCCATGTACATATTCATCATATAAAGGGTTCCAGAATACAAATATCATGCTTTATATAATGAAGACATATAACAAAATCTCGTAAAACCATAACTAGCAATGGCAAATGTGTGGTGAATTTGTGTATTATGAGCAATCCATTTGTCTTCCACGAGTAAGACCTCAAAGGAGCTCATCCAGGGTTAACAGTATAACATCATTAAAGATACAATTGCGTATAATTTAAATAATTTTTTTAATCCCAAAATCCCATGATAGCTGGCTCAAACAAGCTATGAAGTATGTGTGGGAAAACAACACATGTCTCTTTGATGTAATCCCATCTAGAAATTCACGATGGACGTTTTGATAATATTGTTATAGGGGCAAAAAGAATCAATTATATTGGTTCTAGATCCAAGGGGTCACTCTTCTACTGAATGAGTCCAGAAATAAAAATAGTATTATAATAGTTTTTACTCAAGTAATGAGAGAAACACTAATATAAACTCGTAGTATTTTGTAAGTGAAGAAACTGATGATAAAGCGGAAGTTTATTAGAGGGTAGCTCTGAGTGAAAACAGATCATCGATACAATTGAAATTAATATCCGGATTTTAGACATTTCTGTCATTTTTTCGTCAGGTTTCTTAAGCAGCTGATTTTAAGATTATTTGTATTGGACAATCCCAGCCAAATATCTAGTTATGCATGTTTGTAGGCATATATTGGATTCTTTTTACACGAACAACAAGTCCTATAAATTGGTCTAAAACAATATTCGATTGCTGAGCAGCGCATCACCAGCAAACTTTCGCATATTGTATTTTTTAGAATATATCTGCATGATAATTATAATCATTTCTTGCCGTTGTGCCCTTTTTTAAAAAATCCGAAGGTCGGGCAGTCTTACATTCGGACATGTAGTTACGTTCATGATTTGGGTAACCTCTTCGTAACATCTTAACTACTGGCATGGTTAATGTCCTTGCTGTTATGAGAAATTTCAACGTTCAATAAATAGTCAATGTTTAACATGACTGAGATTGGCTACTATTCTGAGTAGAGTCTAGTTATAAACTACCGAGAAGACGGGGTGAAGTCGAATGAATGGAAAGGGTAATTGACTTCTGAGATTGATATTCAAAACTGACATAGATTTTCACCCATTGCAGACGTTGCTTGCAGAACACCCCCGGTATTGATATGCGCGCGCAGTGTGAAGTTAACCAGGGGGACGGTCATTTTCGATTTGAATTCGTGATATTTTATAAACCAAGCCGTGTAGGGTATTCGATTAAATATATATATATTAAAATGCAATTTTTATGAGGTATCATCTGCACATATATGAATAAATTGAATACCAAACACAGCTTAGTTCATGTATCAAAAATTCAAATTCAAATAGGACCGTTTGCTCCGCACCACGCACGCATATCCGCTTTGAGCGTATTCTGCAAGCTCTGTCTGCATACCTGGTGCCCGGCCTGGTGCTTTTTATCAATTTCTGCTATGAACAACACAATTTATCCCTATGGTGATTTCACAATCTTCCAAAGCTCTCTAAATCCAATCAAAAAGTGAATGAAGGAATTTAATCTAATTCATAGTCTACACCCAAGTGGTTGCACTTGATAATTCAGAATTGATCGAAAGATCTTAACTAAATAATTGAATCGATAAATATGAAATGGTGCTAAAATGTTTGACCTAGTTTTTTACCTCTGAATCTTTATCTTCTTTATATGTAAATAAAATAAAATAAAGATTCAGAGGTCAAATAAAAAAGATTCAGAGGTCAAAATCTAGGTCAAACATTTTACCATCATCACAATTAGAAATTAAACTAAACAAAATTAGGGTGTGCTTATCTACAGACATAATTTTGAAAATGTTTCATTTCCAAAACGCCCTATGTGGATATATCAATCGGAGAAATGTTCGTTTCTTCCTACATTGCCCCCATGCACGTATACGCAAGGCAACAATGCATGGAAAGTTTAGCAATGGCTGACCAGGAAGTAGACTAGTCTTGGCAAAATAGACATAATCATATTTGGTGATTCAAATCGGACATGGGGTCAAAATTATGAAGTTATCTGCAGTATCTATTGATAAAATGATCTAGGAACATTGTCTACTACTTTAATCTGTTCATTATTCATCATTTCATTTTCATCATCTATCTTCCACCATAACCGAGAGTGACCTATTTTCTTCCTTATCTGGTTCACTAAGCCACAATGCCATTTGAAAGAAGACTTACTACTGTACATTAACTACACATTGTATTGTAACATCTACAGTTATTGATTTATAAATGTGATTTATTAAGGACTCGAACCTGACTGTATTCATCCCTTCTATAAACTGTGAACAAAGTCAACATTTCACCCGGGGTATAATCGCGAACAATACCACTGGTAATACAAGTAATGTATGACGTCATAACGGCGGGCCGTAGTAATGGCGGACCATAATGAATATTCGAAACATTTTGGTGAGTTTTCATGTTCGAATCGTGATAAAGACCTCAGAGTAGGTGTAATATCGTCGAATACACCCCTTAGGGCAACAAAAACTTTCTACAGAAAACGATTGTGCCTAGGCCTGCGGAGTGTATTCGACGATATTACCCCTGCTCCTCGGTCTATATTTCTTAAATAAAATGACCTTAAATAAAGTTTCATAATGGTTAATAGTGAGAATTTGAATTGATTTCCTCAGTCACACTTATTGAGAAAATTGATTCGAATTCAATTAGTTAGCAGTTCCTCAATGCTCGTGATAAGGCCCATTGAAATCCTTAGAATTTTTTTAAATCTAACATTTTTATGGAGGCTCGAGTGGGGAAATGTTACTCTTGATATTGACAGACGGGCGGACGACCTCATCGATAAAATTCCCCCAGAACCTAATTATGTAGGATAACAGTAAACTTAAATTATTTTTCTTGAACAGGTCTCTATACAATATCGACAGACGGATAATACAGAAAAGTGTATTTTCATTTTATATGGTAATGCGATTTTAAATGTTTAAATTTATCATAATGATATTGTCACAAATAATATTTAAAATCAAATTAAATATACATTATGATATTCTTTATATCGTTGACAATTGAAAAATATGTTATTCTATACTAAGTAGATGCTATTAATACAGTTGTGCAAATACTCGCATTGTCATGTTCAAGATTGAATATATACTTTGTCTTCAATGAAGTTTGATTAAGTGATAATTTAAACTTCGGTTGTATGTTTCAGTATACTGATAGCCACGACCAAAAGTACAAATATGGCCACAAATGGCAGTGCAAGTTCCAATGACACTAATGCTACAGAAGCCGTTGTTTATATAGAGGCAACAATAGCTGAAGGACTATGGGTATACTGCGCACCATTGATCATCATTCTCGGTACAATAGGAAACACTTTAGCTCTTATCATACTTACAAGGAAGAACATGCGAAAGAGCACATCTAGTGTTTATCTTAGTGTCCTAGCTGTGGTGGACACAATGGTGCTGTACACTGGCCTGTTGCGATATTGGATCATTTACATTTCTGACGTAGACATACGGGATATAACACTTGGTGGGTGCAAGGTACATATATTTATAGTTTACTATACGGTGCATCTGTCAGCGTGGATCTTAGTTGTGGTCACATCCGAGAGATTGATCGCCGTCTATATCCCCCACAAAGCCCAGGTCTATTGTACCCACTTCTCCACACTTATCACGCTGTGCGTTCTCTTTGCTGTCTTCTTCGTTACCAACCTTCACTTCTTCTGGACATTTGGTTACATTGAAATAAACGATAATGGTGAAGAAGAAGTCGTATGTATAGTTGCAGACGACAAATATACAGATTTCTTTTTGGACACGTGGTCCTGGCTTGACACATGCATCGCATCCTTCATCCCGTTCACCATCATGTTCGTTAGCAATGTTCTCATCATCATCAAGGTTGTTTTCTGGAGGAGTATTAGGAAAATGAGCTCAGCGAACGAATCAAAGATGACAACCATGACGGCAATGCTACTCACAGTGAATTTTGTTTTCATTATCTGCACAGCCCCTATCGTTATTTACCTGAATTTCTACACAGAGTGGTACCCGGACGAGGATGATCAATCTCAAATGGCTAAATCTGATCTTCATTGGGCTGTTTGTAACATGCTCCAGTATTCCAGCAATGCAATCAACTTTCTTCTTTACTGTGTGTCTGGGCCAAAGTTCCGTCGAGAGCTGTCAGGATTGTGGTGTAGGAAGAAAAACCAGGTTGTGCCACACTCCAACAGTCAAACAGATGCCGAGACCGTTTCTTAGATTTGAACATACTTACATGTAGATGATATCGTAAGATTTCCTGGGTGCTAACGTTTACCATTTCCCCGAAGAAGCGCAGCTAGTGACTAGAGATGGGTGGTATCCATTAGTGGATAAAAATGTTAACACGAGAAAACAATATGATATCATATTTATACCATGGATTAAGTGTTTAATAGAGTACATGCCCATCACATTAAGCACGGCGGGCGTACGGCGGCCGTAGCTTCATAAAATCGATATAGAAAATCTACATCGTACTCCTTATCCCTACATTTTATGCTACATACTTCCCTCGATTTTGGGAAGCTACGGCCGCCGTTAGTACGGTTGCCGTAGATCAAATGTGACCGAGGCGTTAATTAGTTTTTTCACGTTAATATCGAAATGTCAGGGATTCGTTTACACTATGTCTCTTTTCCTTGTTCTCGCGAAGATGCTATGGATCATCATAAGAACACATTGAATGGATGCTATCAACACTCCTATTCTGGAAACAGCCAACATGCATGTTTACTTCAAAATAAAATCTAAGAAAATTGGTTGCATAAAAACACCATTTTAAAAGAACATGATGGTCGGAACTTTATTTGGGCGATCAAACAGGTAGATAGTATCTGTCTATTAGTAAGGTAGTATTATATCTGTCAGGTAGTGAAGTAGTATCTGTCTGGTAGTAACGTAGTACCTGTCTGGTAGTAAGGTAGTAACTATCTGGTAGTAAGGTAGTATCTGTCTGGTAGTAAGGTTGGACCTGTCTGGTAGTAAGGTAGTATCTGGAAGTAAGTTAGTGTCTGTCTGTTAGTAAGGTAGTACCTGTCTGGTAGTAAGGTATAGAAGTATCTGTCTGGTAGTAAGGTAGTATCTAGATCTGTCAAACTATTTTTGGGCTTTTAATTCAGAACTCATGAAAAATTAATGTCTGTCAAATTCGATTGAGGATAACCTCATATCAGTCGGATACGATTTTAGCATACTGTTAAACCAGTGTATTCCATTAATCATACATGGAATACCTTGATTGATAAAGGTGCGATTTTAGTAACCCATACTATCATCATGTTGTTTTATTATTCCAATACATACTTTGTATCTGAAGAATTATTGCATATGGTTACGTCAAAAAACGAACGAGCCATATTTTCTTATTTTGCTATTCTCATAATAAACATGGATATCAATGATATTTTCAAAATGTTTGGGATATAAAAATCAATTGAACAATCCAAACTCTCGAATTCAAGGTCATCAGTTAAAAGCCGAATCAGTTTTTCTCCAGCTTACTTGTATGACTTATCGTGATACTTCTAATATTTTCATTTTTGTCTGGATATAATTTCAGAATATACTTTGCCCTGTGTGTCTCTTTGAGGAATGACTAACAGCAGTGTAAAATTATTGAATGATATCATTAGAACTTTATGTTGTCATCTAGATGCATATGTATGTAGTATACCAATAACCTCATTTCAAAGGGCAACATAGCGAAATCTTGGTCCAAAGGCCGAAACTGAAAATCTGAAATGTCTGAAAAGACAATCTCAAAACATCCTCATGAATAGGAGAATAAGTCAAAGCAGCATCTATAGCTAACTACAAATATGCAAAACAAAGATACAGGGTGACCATAAATTTAGATGTAAAGTGCTCTAACTATTGTAAAAAGTAATGAATCAGTTTATTGTTTCACATGATAAATCTCGTCGGATATCACTGACAATTAATTATATCAATAATTATATCCGAGAGTGTAAAATGTTAATAGCAGTCATCAAGCCAGCATTTTTTCTCACTTAACACCTTTATTTCATTATTTGTAAAAAAAATCGAGATTCTCACCAAATATATATACCAAGTATAGAAATTCTCGAATGATTGGCAAATTATCTTTGAAAACAAAGCACTATCATGAAATAAACTCGAATATTTGTGAACATTTGCTGGAAAGTAGGATGGGTAGACTGTTGTTTAGGAAAATATTGTTATAATGTGACAATGTTAAGAAACTTAACTCAAATCTCGTTTCTTAGACTATTAACCTTTTATAGTATAATATAATAACATAGGCATTATGTATGTAATATTTAATTGATTAAATATAATAAATATGTAGATATATTGACGTTTACGTACCTGTATATAGAAATAAGCATATGCGCATTACAAACTGTTCCACCAAATATACCCTCACGAATTTATGGATGAAGAGAGAATATTACCTCCATTTGAGAAAAAGCCAGTGTTCAGTGCTCATTAGAACCATTAATTGATCAATGATTCAACTATAACGTTCTAATAATGTCAATCTAGCCACTTACATTTTTCAGTTCAAAACACCATAAGCTAACTAAACTACTCATGCCTTATTCAACTTGGATCAAATCATTAACATTTTACGAAGATTTACTTCAGAAAAACATGGAAAGCAACTCTTTAGGTGAAAAATCGTTCATTCCTGTCCAAAATAGGATTGATTGTGCAACTGGCCACACCACCAGTGATCACACGAACGAGAAAACAACAGATGACATTGGTGATAGAGCCAAGGCACATATGGATAGCGTGGCGAATGACATTCAAAATTCCAAGCAGAAGATGCCCACCACCGTGGATGGCATCCACGTGGATGAGGCTATTGAAAAGGTAAAGAATGCTATTGGTCATTGTGATCAGATACTCGACCTGCTCAGAAAGATGGCGAAGCTGCAACACTGCAGGGAGATGAAGGTAGGCCAGCCATAAGCTGTTCCACTTATTAGAGTATATGTGTATGCCATCTATAATATTAAAGATCAAGAAATGAGTATTTTGAGGAATTATTTAAACGACAAATCGAAGGCCGTTTAATTGTGTACTAAATAGTATATCACATGAACAATGGGTTCATTGATAAAATGTAAATTGGTTAGGGACTATCAGAATTCGATACGGCTGCTAAACCTAAAAATCAGTAAAATACCCTCATGACATCTGGCCATATCTACAAATTATATATATCAATATGCAATCATGTTACTATAATATACCTTGATTGTCCTTGACTGCATCGATAAGCAATAGGAAATAATTTCGGTATTACCGAGCAATTGTACCACAACAGAAAAACAGGGTCAAACACGATTGTTATTTCTTCAAGTCAAGTAACATAGTCGACATATGATGAACACATTCTATTAATTGAAATTAGCTAGAATTGAAATCATTAGTTGAGAGTCTAATTATTTTTTTAAGAAGGAGCTTCTCCTCTCACAACTAGACGTCTGTTCTAATATTCTTTAATGGCACAATAATGGTATAAATTAGATTGGTGACTATTTTACAAAAGTCTATTATATTAACTTGTTAATAATTGATTAATAGCCAAGGGTCACAGCAGCCCCCATAGTCTTAAAACTCGATATTGACCTTTTAACTTGGAATAACCTTGACCTCGGGTCACCTAATCTTGGGTGGCAAAATGTCACAACAGCCTCCAAGGTCCTTTAAACACCAAATACTTAGATATCGTCCTTTGACCTTGAAATGACCTTGACCCATAAACATTGACCTTGACCTCGGATCACATAATCATCGGTCGCCAAGTGTTAAAGCACGCCCCAAGAACCTTAAATCACCAAATAGCTGGATATTACCCTTTGACCTAGAAATGACCTTGAACTCAGGTCACCTAATAATAAGTCACCTATGGTCACAAAAGACTCGAAATGGACTAAAACCCCAAATGCCAAGGTAGTTTTTTTACCTTGGAATGACATCGACCAATAAAGTTGACCTAATCATTGGTCGTCAAGGGTCATAGCACAGACCAAGGGCCAAAAAGCCAAATACCTATATATTGACTTCTGACCTTCGTAGAATGTCCACCGATCCCCACTTAGTATGTTGACCAAGTATGGGGGCCCATGGTCGAATGGTCTAGGAGGAGATGTCCAGAGAGACAGAAGGACAGACAGACCACCATGCTTTAGATGACCAGATAAAATCAACGTATTTTATTTTTATTAAGTTTTGGCATCCATTTTGATTCCTGATATTCATTTAAATGTATGCATCACTGGACAGTATCAAGATACTATAACGTCTGTTACCTTCTCATCTAAGATGGCGGACGGAAAGAGTCGATTTCGATATTTTTGATTTTCGTCGAATTCTATAATGAGCAGTTTTTGTACATTACGGTTGGGAAGTGTAGCATTTATCCTGGACCAAACGATACGATGTCATGCAATAGACGTCCCAGATAGCAACTTTTTTTTATTAAAAACTGGAGCTAAATGTCGGGACAGGTGTCGATATTGAGATAATGTGAGCCCCCACTTCACCCTATGCAGACAGAGCCTGTGGGAAATATTGGGTGCGGCGCAAATGAGCGGAGGGTGCGGAGCTAACGGTCATTTTTGAATTTAAAATTGGGATATTTCTGAAACTAAGCCGTTTTGGGACTTCAAATATACCAAGATATGTGTATTTGACACCAAATATCAATAAAATTGTGAAAATAGTAGTGCAATTCATTTTATAGCGACGCAGCATGCCTTAAACATTTCCCAGACCTATATATTTTGAGACTATCCTTTTAATACTGCGTCCCCAGCATTCATAAAAAATGGTGTTCAAGATACACTACCCATGCAAATTATTTTTGCATCTTGGAAGCCAGGCAGTATCTGTGTGATTTTATAAAAATTCGGAAATGTTCTTCAGATATGAGCCCCTCTAAATATTGGGTGCGGAGCTACGTTTATGGAGCTGCTCCGCACCCAATATTTAGAGGGGGCTCATATCTGAAAAAATTTCAGAATTTTTATAAAATCACACAGATACTGCCTGGCTTCCAAGATGCAAAAATAATTTGTATAGATAGTGCACCTTGAACACCATTTTTTATGAATGCTGGGGACTCAGTATTAAAAGGATAATTTCAAAATATATAGGTCTGGGAAAGGTTTAAGGCACACTGCGTCGCTATAGAATGAATTGCGCTACTATTTTCACAATTGTATTGATATTTGGTGTCAAATACACATATCTTGGTATATTTGAAGTCTCAAAACGGCTTAGTTTCAGAAATATCCCAAATTTAAATTCAAAAATAACCGTTAGCTCCGCACCCTCCGCTCATTTGCTCCGCACCCAATATTTCCCACAGGCTCTGTCTGCATAGGGTGCACTTGTTATATGAGTTTTGCTATGTGAACTGGCCCTCCATTATTGACTTTCATAACGTGACAGCATCATCAGTTATCGTATCATTTGCTAAATCAAAATCTCAGTTACCTTCCCTTAAGCGATATTACATATAGTTGAATCATGACGCCCCCGTATGATTTAAGAACAAATTGTCATACTCTAAAGTTTCCATGATATATAAGGCTTATCAAGTTCAAATACCAAAGCATTACGTTAATCATAAAGTAGTTTAATTCGACGAAAACCAAGAATATCGAAATCGACACTTTCCGTCCACCATCTTAGATGAGAAGGTAACGGCTGTTACCGCATCTTGATACTGAACAGCGATGCATATGTTTCCAATAAATCCCGTTGAGTCGTTAACCTGCAAATAAACAGGAAAGCCATGACATTTCAATGTTCATACCGACATCGCCATACAAACATACATAAAGACTAATACTGTCGATACAATGTATTGTATTTGAAAAACCATAATGTCGATGGAAAGTAAATCAATGCTATTTAGGTTTTGCCTGAATCCAGAAAGTCTCATTCTTTTAAAGTATTTAATCTTACTTATTCATGATTTTGCTTCAGTCAAATAGATTTATTCTTTTAAGGGCACATTCTACACTTATATTCAATATTGCGCTGACATAGTTTTTTTTATTGTTTGTCTTTTATTAAGTCGTCGACAACAGTCTTATATTTATAACTTATGTCTTTAGGGGGGGGGGGGGTAACACAGGGGTTAAAAGCACTAATTTCATCAGCCTGTGGAAAAAAATGACGAAAAATTCAAAAAACAAAAACATTGAAATGAATTATGTCTAGGCATGGGCTTTCAATTCTAGTTGAAAGCCCATGGTCTAGGTCACAGAGCAATGAGTATCATAGACTTATAATGTTGGGTTATGCATTTTTTTTCAGAAGACGACATACCAAAGAACCACTAAACAGTGAATAGATGCAAATATCTTGTCGGATGTGACGCAGGACTAATATAAAGGTGTACACAAATCGGGCAATCGCCATCTTGAAAAGACATGCTAAATAAAGACTCAGAATTGGAAAACGTATGTTAGAATATTGTGATAACAAAAATGTCAGAGAAATTGTTTTATATGTAGAGGCTAATAAATTATTTTCAGACAGAGGCGAGTTGTGTTAATCAACTTTACAAAAAAAGATCCTTGCCTATTTTCTAAAAGGTCACACAGTTAAACGACTTTATATCATGTTATTGCGAATATCTCATGATATTTCCTTTATTATACGGGAACAAGCATTAACGAATTAGCATTGACTATTCAGGATCTATGTCAATAGCCATGTGTTAAAAGGGACCTTACTCAATTACATTTAGAAAAAAGGGCATTTCCGATAAAGTAAATAGTAAACTAGTTTGGTGTCAGTTGTGTGTAAATACCATTAAACATTATTTGGCCCTTTATCATCACCCTCTTGCTATGACAGGATGACATTGATTGGCTAAATGTATAACATTAAGATTCATATATATCTTTTTCTCGACCTAACTAAAATCCTCGTTTTTACAGATAATATAATAAATATAGTCATCATTAAAGTTGCGTTAATTCTTTGAAAAAACTACAGATTCTCCATTAAGGTGTCCGGTTTGACTCCCGTTATCCACCTTCCGTTAGCCTAGAGTTGACTGTGCACAGTTTGCCTCAAATACGTATACGCTCATTCCTTTTTAACACTTGCCGGTTCCATTTCTTCAAATTGTTATTTATCTTGGATCTATTTGTCAGGTTTTCATGATGGGTAGTAGCATATTGAATAGTCTCCCACTTTTATATTGTCGTACATAGTTCTAGCCCTCTTCAAAACAGCTGGTAGGACGGAAAGGTCCACACGAAACACGCCATTAAACGGATCATCGAGATCTGCGACCACGTAACACATCATACTGATGGAGAAAATGGTCACTTCACACATTGCGACCTCCATCTTGCTGGAATTGGCGTAGAGGAACAACACTCCGAGAAACACAAATATTCCCAGCAACTCTAAGAAGAACCACCTGTAAATATAGATATAGCAAATGAATTTGTGCATTTTCCGATAGATATAAGCAAAGGGGGTTTGGGTTTGCCATGAGAGCAGTTGTGATCTGGACTTGAATCAAGTAAAGTTGTGCATAATTAAACAAAGAGTGTTATGAAAGTAAAAACATATTACTTCTCGTTCATATAACCAAGAGAATCGACAAAATCGAACTAATAGCAAATTATATTAATATCAAAAATATTTGATATTCAGGCAGTATCTTGAAAATCCAGTACATGCTACAGATGAGGTTGTTTGGTTGATAGATTTGGCAATGGCAAGAATTAATTATGTTGAACATTATGATCGTTATGAACGCTTACGATGGAATGTTAACTGTTGGTAATAGGCATGGCTAAGTAGGAGTCAATTGTTATGTTCACATTGTACCATGGATAAGCGACACATTCACATACAAAGGGTTATCAATAAATAATGGACTCTGTTACACAGATACTTTGATTGACCAATCCCTGTGATTTTCCTACCAGTGATGCATGATTCAATTACCTATCAATTATGAAGATGTCAAGGCAAAATATCTAATTACATGTTGATATGTCCGTATTTACATTAAGGAGGTACAAGTACCCCGGGGCCGAGATTTACGTCACATAATCAGTTTTTACCCAGTATGCCATATAGATACTTCAGTTAGATTTGAACTTTTTTATATGCAACAAATGTTGTGTTGTTTGAAATATTTTGCTGACTGGTAACACATAAACGGTAAGTATTGTGATGTCAGAGTGTTGTATGGAAGGGGTTTGCCATACTCCATATGGACAATGACCATGCCCATAGATCTCAAATTTTTTAGAATACAATATTCCTCGACCTCAACATTGAGCCCTTGGCCAATGTACCATTGTCAAGATCTGCCCACGTGTGACTTATTTATGCAATCCTACTTATTTCTATAGAGAAAGGACGCAGGTTTAATTACATTGATGAAATAAAACAAGCTGTACGTGCAACTGCATCTTGCTTCCAGTCAGAGAATGGGGTAATGTATGACCATAATGGCTTGTTTTGTTTAGCCTGCATTCAACTAAATTGCATGTTAAACAAGCTAAAATATTTTCAGAATGTTTGCCGTCATGTCGGTCCCGAGATACCTATACCTCCTTCACGAAAATAAATATCAAAATATATTGCATGTTTTGTTTTCAAATCCTCAGTTAATGGATAATCGAATGATGTATCACTGGTAAGAAAATCAAAGGAATTAGTCTATAAAAAACATCTGTGTTAAAAAGCGTCCATAACTTATTGATCACCCCTCGTATAGCTAATCAAGGTGTGTCCAATTCCAGCCAATTAGAACACAGTGTTTCACATAATTACATTGCAATACACTACTCTAATGCATCCGGCCAGTCATGTAAAGATTAGTGGAATGATTCGGCAGCACAACGCATTGACGTCAGAGTTTAAATCCCTTAAAAATCAAACTGGAACTCAACAAGTGTGGTAGCACCTTGTAGTATTTCCCCCGAAAATAATTGTTTTCTCAAAGTATTAAAAAAGAAAATAGTGTTCTGTCTCAAACTGATTAATCAGCATTTTGAAAAAACGCCGCTTACGTGACCGTATGGATACGTGATGTCAACGTCCCCGTTCTACCGTTGCAGATGCTGTTCAGCCGTATCATGTATCGTATTATCTTCGACCCAAGGATCTTGTTTGTGTTAAAACCCTCAGTCGGCTGACCTTCAGCGTCTCTTAACACATCGATGATAGACCAAATCTGTACTAAAAACGAAAGGGTATATTTCATTAAAATGTAATAAAATTACTAGATCTTGTAAAGATATGGTAATCCCATGATTAACTCAATTAACTCATAAAAAGCATCAAACCTTATTTGTGACTCTCTGAATTTCAAGAATTGATACATAAAATAATCTATTATATAAACCGAGATTTGTTTATCATGAATGTTTTTCTCACACTGCATGTCTTTTGGTGGTTTGGTGTGCCCACCAAGCATGACCGCACGTGAACCTCTTATCTGTAGAATGATGGATATCGTCTCTGCCTTAACTGCCCTTATGATGGACAACATATGCTGTTTCGAAGGGAGTTGTAATTTTGCTGTCAATGTAACGATCTGGTCCAACAGGCTTAGTTCGTGAGTGAGTTTCGCCATCACGGTTTGTTGTTTCTGGAGTACGTTCTGAAACTGGAAGCCGAAGAACAAAGCGAAGATAAGGCCAGCAGGGGCAAGAAAACAAGTGAGAGCGGTGTTGATATCAGGGCGACCGTACGCCTTCCCAACATATTCAGGCCAAAGCCATCGCTGTATAGGATCAAGGAGGTACAACACCGTTGCGCACATCATCAGTGACAGAAACGACGGGAGCGCTATCTTCAGAACATTTTTAGGTTTATTTTGGAAACCATTAATTGAATTAAGAACCTCAAGGTCAAAATCACAGTAAAATGGTTCCCCTATGTCACACAGGAATTTCGTATCAGTAGGCAAGATATCTAGCTGGTCGCCGTTACGTGTTGCGTCCCAGAAATGACCCTTGTTTTTGCCCTGCCAGTGAACAAACGACGTAGAGACCCATACGTATAACACACCTGAAATAACAGTCATTGGGAATATAAGCTATCATCCATCGCCCTTTCTTGTCCATTGAGGACACTATGTCTTCAGTTATATACTCTTTACCGGGGATACACACAATTTTCAAATTAATCTCAAAAATTTCTAAAAATATAGTTATCTAAAAATAGAAGTGCTTGAAATTACAACTTATAAGACGAACAGTGTCAGTAATGCGAGATTACCCCGTGTATGATGGATTCCATCCAAACTTTAACCAACAAATGCTATGTACATACCAGATAATATAATGGCCATCATGACGACTGTTGGCATGAGGAGTTCTATGATCGGAGGCGTCTCTAATGCTCGATTCAAGAGAGTCGTATTTGTTTCCATATCCGCCATTTTGTTTTCCGTCAAATGCTCCGAGTGTTATTTTACCTTATCGATAAAACAACAAAAGTTATCAGAGGTGGAAGTCGTTTAGTTTTACATATCTAATCTTTACAGTTAATTAGCTCCTATGAATTATGTAGAACCGATTCCAAATGATGTAAAAAGAGTCCATTGTCTGCAGTAATTATACTGTCTCTCATTGTGTAAACAAAAGAACACTGGGTGCAATTGCTGATCGACTTAGTAGATAATAACAAATCGTTGACATTGATTCCAAACGAAGAACCAATTGCAGTCACTGGACATACGAAGAACTATAGCATTTCTTCGATTTCTTCGTGTGATTATACGTTTGCGGTTAATCAACAGATTCATAAGTATCTATAAGTATAGTACTGGTTGTATTCAACATCACATGATTATGAAATATAACTTTTATGACGATTCCAATTATTCCAATACAAGATCGATATTTTTCCATGGCATTCAAGAGGTGTAAGCAAATGTTGGATACTTGCCACCAAAGACAGAATAGTGACATGTTTAATAAAATGATGACATTATAGTCCATAGCAATAGCATCAATAATTGCTTTTCACATGGAAATTATCCCCCTCAATCCTTCGTTTATTGCCCTGATTATTGGGTTCCTGAACAAAAGCCATGAAGAAAATATTCTAGATTTTATTAAATGGTATATATTATTCCATTGATTAGAATATTTACTAAGAAATCCATTTATAGAAAATATATTGTTTTGTAAGAAGGGCTGACCAACATATTTCGTAGAAAATATTTGGAGTCACTCATCAAACTTATTAGAAATAAACACACTAGTATACCTTGAATTATACGCTGAAATTTTGAATTAAAATAAAGTTAGTAAAATCAAGTTTTTATATAGAAATATATTTTTCTTGAATGCTGACGTAAATGGACACCCCGTTTTTAAATTTCAAGATCACATCATCACCCCATAAGATAACACGTCTGCAGATGGCGCCTTTCAAAAGTTCATTAACTGTGTCACCAAAGTTTGACATTTTGTGATTAAGGAAAATATTTTTTAAGCAAAAATTTGAGGAACTAAAAAATGGGTTCCAAACTTTTGGAGGGGGGTGTAACAACTGATGACGCAAGTATTAAGATGTAACAATTTGTGGTTCCATCTTGTATAAAATGGTTCAAAACTGTCGAACTGATTGAACTGAACGGATTATAAACAAAAGATGGGGTGTTCTGTTTACCAATGTCAAGGTCGATATGAAAATAGTGTTTAACTTAATTTTGCCAATACGTAAAGTATCAACAGTTTTCGTAGCAACCAGATTCTATGTACATGTTTATTTTGTCATCAACCTTTCCACTTGTCGACCTTTCCCACTCGTTTATCTATACTATCGTATACTCTTACATAGTCTTATCGTAGAATATTTGCACGGGTAAAAGTATATTTTAAAATCACATAATATTCTATACTTATTATATAAAGCCGACAGCCAGTGAGTAAAAGTATTGTACTCTAATGGGAATTCTTCAATTAAATACGTCAGCATAACCTGGGCAACTAATCAAACCATACAAAGTGTTATAATAATGCACATTATGAAGGAATGTAAATTGGGAATTATTTTGAATTGATTATTCTACATTAGAAATAGTGTAGTGGTTATAGGTCTTGAAATTGCATCGCTTGAGTATAAAATCAAAATATAGTATGTAGCATTGCTGCATTATCCTTAGTCCCCAACCCAACAATATGCATTCTTTCAAGAAAGCGTGACTTTCGAGGTACGATTGGAAATCTAAATCAAATACTAATGTACTAAGTACATATCAAACATGTGTGTATATATGAAGAAAACATTAACTCGTTAAACTTTTAGAATCAATTCTCTAGTTTATTTATGTACTCGGGCAGAAGAACTCTCGGGAGTTCACATCTGACGTCAAATCTTTGGCAAACGTAAGAGACATGCAAGAACGATCGGCAAAGATGAAGATGATCCTTATATTACTTTGGATTTTTGGTACGCTACTTGACTACTACCAATGCATACTAAGATAAAAATACCTTGAGATTTAAAATTAAATAGTTTTCGATTTTATCTTGTCCTTTTAGGTTCTTTTTGGAATGTAAAAGCATGGAATAGCTTTTAGCGCTCTTGTCTCGATCTATTCAATGACTTGCTTGTAATCGGTAAAGAAAGGAAAGAAAGGCCTGTAAGCCCGAGGACATGGACAAACCTAACAAAAGTTAAATATGAATGTCAAATCAGTTAAGACTGTGAGGTCAAATACTAAATGGATCAAGATCACAGGTCAGAATATAAAGCGAAGGCTACGGCCGTCACCAGTAGGATTGACCCCAGAGTTCAAAGATGACGTACGCTTATACTGTAAACCTGTATTGAGATGATGTTCACCTCTGATTGGTCCAAATCGATAAACAAAAATGGCGGATTCAAAATTTTCTAATAACGCTTCGAATAATTTTATGTTAATTCATGGCGTGTTAACCAATATATGCCTGTTATTATCAAGATAGAGAAAGATGTAAGGATTATGCTTACATCGATTAAAACATCACGACGACGCGTTATATTAAAAAACTAACTGATGAGAATTTGCGCAATCGAAGGTGGTACCCAAGAGACGTAATATGTCAGTCATCGGTAAAGCTCTTGCCCCCCCCCCTCTTGGCCGTCACCTTCAAATTCAAGATGGGGGACAGGAAATGTTGATAATAAGTAACCAGGCTTGTACGACATGGCAACTCTGGAGAATGATCAATTGTTCATACATTGTGCGTAGGCGCCACAATTCTCGTATTCGTAGTCCCCTCTTCAAAAGAGGAGACGCAAAAGATTTTCCTAATAAGGTCAAAATGTTTCCCATGATGCAGTTCGTGGAGGAACAAATTCATACGTCCTTGTTTTTAAGATGGGGGTTTTCACATCTATTTTTCAATCAATATATTTATTCATATTCCCGTGTGGGAGTATAGAAAAAATTATCAGAAACGATTGATCTCTTATTAGCCTTAATATATCGATTTTTTTCATTGTATTGATTCATAGCGTGGTGAAAAGGATGATTGAAAAGTGAGAAGATATTCCGGAGGAGGAGGTCACGTGATCAGTTGTGATAGTCGCCATTTTGGAAAAAATAATTTCATTCCCCCTCCATCCGATCCCCCTCCATCCCAAATTAATTTATTTCGATTATTTTTTGTATTACGCATGGAAACTAACTTTAAAAAGTGAGCAATGTCATAAGTATTGTGATAAAAACGTCCCTTATACCTATTTATTACAGGTCGTGTAGACCATTGTTGCCCGATGTATAGCAAAAACATTGACTTTTGCACGTTGGTGATGATGCGCCTTTTTTAATAGATCTCATATCTTAGAAGAGAATCAGTTGAAAAATACGGAATGACCTAACATATTTTGCCATGCACTGTGCCTTTTCATTTGGCAATTCAGTTGTAAATTTTCTCTTGAAAAAATAAATCTTCCAAATTTGTTGAGTTTTCTTGCAGAAATCGCCTAATCCCCCTCCATCATTTTTGTACGATCACCGGGCGTGATAGATCGACGTTCGATGTAAACCAATGGGAAATGTTGGGTTTGCCGCAAGTCATATGGCGGAGTATCCATCCATTCGAATTCTCACAAAAATACAAGTTAAGTAGACAAGTCAACTTTCTTTAACAAAAATGATATTTTTCTACATGTTCAACAAAGTAATTTTTTTAAAGAAACCTCTCACATTGAAATTACGCAGGAGGCGAAACACGATTTTCAAAAATGACTTTGAAGCTCTGTAATTTTGATGTTCACAGAGTAATCTTAACGGGCAACAAATTCAATTTTCTTTATCGAAATATGTTATTGGGAATGACGATTTTTTCGAGATAGGGGTTACCGAAAAGAATCCAAAACTAAAAATGCTTTACGATAATGGTCGCCACCATGACTACATTACCCTACTGGTACGGTACATGTACAGGGTGGTAAAAATGGAAACCCTGCGTTTTCCTTATATCTTTGTCACTTTAAAGACATCCTATCCCCCCTCCATCCAATATTGATTTATTTCGATTATTTTTTGTATAACGCATGGAAACTAACTTTAAAAAGTGAGCAATGTCATTAGTATTGTGATTATAACGTCCCTTATACCTATTTATTACAGGTCGTGTAGACCATTGTTGCCCGATTTATAGCAAAAACATTGACTTTTGCACGTTGGTGATGATGCGCCTTTTTAATAGATCTCATATCTTAGAAGGGTATCAGTTCAAAAAATACTAGATGGCCTAACATATTTTGCCATGCACTGCGCCTATTCATTTGGCAATTCAGTTGTAAATTTTCTCTTGAAAAAACAAATCTTCCAAATTTGTTGAGTTTTCTTGCAGAAATCGCCTAATCCCCCTCCATCCATTTTGTACGATCATCGGGCGTGAAAGTAGGCTGGTAGCAAATTGAATGATGTACAAAAGTGTAAAATATCAGGGAGTTATTTTATAAAATGACAAAGATATGAGGAAAATGCATGGTATCAGGGTTTCCATTTTTTGACCACCCTGTTTGTTAAAATCTGTAAATAGAATCGGTAATGCCAGATCATCGATTCATTGCCATTTCTTGACATAAAACGTTTCCAATTACGTATTGCAAAAAATTTGCAATGGACACAGGATCAATTTAAGTAGGCCTCGTAACGGCTAGGGAAAGGAAGCCAAGGCTGATTTTCAAAGGAAAGCAGATTGAAATATGAGGCCATTTCGACAACAAAGTAGTCAATTTAGAAGTTTAGGCACTTCATCGAAATAAATTAATAATTGATATGTTCCTTTGGTTTGTTGATTCTTCATGTACTTTAAATTTATTATACTCCACCCGACTAATCCACATTTGAAACTTTTTTTATGAATAATTTAGATAATTAAATGGTGTCAGTCCAATCTCTATTTTCCAGTCATTGTAGTAATTCTATAGTGATTCTTATATTCCAAAACATAGACTATAGGTATGGGAGAAAAAATTTAGCTCGCTCAAATAATTAAAATAGACATGCCAAGAGGTTATCCGAATATTCATACATTACAGTCAATAGTAGGGCTGTCGATGGTAAATGTGAAACCAATACAGCAAAGCTTGGCGATTTTGAGTAATAAGCACCTACTGAATATTCAGTTAATCGAACAATGTTTTTGGCTGCAAATTGACACCACTACGTATACTCAATAGTCATTCAAATAGTCATGCATATATTCAACAGTCATTCATAGTGTATATATTAAAATATTTTATTACAATGTCACTTGTATACTACATTTGTTTCTTATCATGGTGAAAATACCACCGGGTCGAGTTGGTTTATGAGACCCTGGGCTTTAATAAGATGTTTTTAGGGGTTCCCAAATAAGTATACCCAACATTGAACTTTTCACACGATATGGAATATTCGTCAGTTTTCAATTAGCACTGCAAACTCATAGAAATTAGTGTATTACTTTCTGATAACTTGGACATTTTAGATGATATGCTCCAAATTACAAATACCCCCACCATGATCGATGGAGAAATGAATGCAAATGGAACATTAAAAAGGGATGTTGGTACTAAAACGAGCTTTTCTCTCAAACTAAAAAGAGTTACTTGATGAGACTTTCAGATATTTATAAGATTAATTAAATTGTCTGTCAATGACCGAAGATAAGAACATTTCGTCAACCCCAAAGAGTTATTCTATATCTGTCTTGGTACGACATTGAAATATGGATGGTGGTGCCAGAACAAACTTTTCTCTCAAACTTGATGAAATGTTTTAAGATTTTAATACGAATTGTCTGTCAGATGATCAAATTTCTAAAATATTCCTTCATCGATCGCAGAGCTATTCCATGTTTATCTCGGTATACTTTTTGGGACACCCTGTATATTAGTGTATGGGTATAGTGTACCTCCAAAATAAATCTGAATGAACACACTGGCGGATTAGGGGCCTTGGGGCCCGCCCCCCCCCCTTGGGTTTGCCCAGAAAAAAAAATTGGGCCCAAAAAGATTTTGGGCCAAAAAAGGCCTCAAGGCCCCAAAGAGTGGGCCTCTTTGGTCATAACTGGGCCTTGTAAGGCCTTATTTTTTAATTTTAGGCCAAATTTTGAAGAAAACGGGCCTCAATATTTCAAAATTTGGGCCCACTTTTGGGTTTTAGGGGCCCAAAATTTTTTTCCGCTCAAGCGCGGACATTTTTTTCTTTGACCTGAAATTTGGGCCCCCCCCCCCCCCCTTGTTCGTTCCCAGATCCGCCCCTGGAACAACTACAATTCAGCACATCATAATAATAAACAGAGGGTTAAATTTTCCCTCCGTAAATGAAAAACAATGATTGTCATGTCCGATGTTACCTCCATGAGTAAGACTAGAATGTAGAAAATAAATATACAGGCTGTCAAATAAGTCCCGTCCCCCTCTACAGCCAAATCCAAGATATATGGTACCAAGTGTGATATATCATTGGAAAGGTCTTCCAAAGTTACGTTGATTGGCATATATTTGACACGTGTCAATCAATCTCACAAAATTTTACATTGTATCAATTGAGGTGACCATAGGCCTAGAAACATGGCAATTTGGCGTATTTGGCAGGATTTTAAGAATCGGGTATAAGAAAAGTCAAAGGACCTAAAGATGACTACATATGTATATGGCAATGCATTCAACCAAGTTCTGGATAGGGTTAGATGTGTAAAAAATAGAGGTGCAAGGAAAAATGGTGAAAACCTTTTTGTTTTAAGTGAAATGCGAAAAGGATTAACTTTTTGACGTATTTCTGAGGTCATATCCTTCTCATTTTGACGCAATGAAAGCTGCTTAGGGTACACTAACTATAAAGGAAATCATGAAAATATAGGTGAATTCCATCCAAAATACTTGAAAGTTGGTGAGTTAACATAACTTTGGATGATCTTTCCAATGGCATATCACACTTTATTTTAGCTGTAGCAGGGGGAATGGGACTTATCTGACACCCTGTAATATCTGTAAATAAAAGTAAACCATTGTCAGTATTCATCTTTTGTATGTCTGGTGTTAAAAAGTCAGGTGTAATGTTAAATTGGATGGCAGTCATGCATATGCTCAATTAAACGGGTATACAAATAGTCATGCATAGAGAAGTGTCAAGTTTAATGTTTAACGACTGTCGGGGTAACCATATTGCACGAGTTCCCCTCTAGAGGCCGACTCGTATGTCTTTTGAATCCTGTGAACAACATCAGGTAACACCGTTAGATCTATCCTGAAGAAACCACTGAATGGATTGTCCAGATCTGACACCATGTAACACAAGAGGCTGATTGAGAACACTGTGATCATACACATCGTCAGCTCAACTCTGTACGACTCTGCTTGTACGAGGAGGATCCCAAAGAATGAAAAGAAGCCAAGAGTTTCGAGGAAGGCCCATCTAAAAACATAAAACAGATCCTCATGATAAACATTTACAATCATGATCACATTAGGAATCCCAGTATTAATAATCATGTTAAGACAATGTAAGTTGTGGAACTAATAAAAATGAAAGTCGCTTGTTTTTAAATCACAATACCCCAAATACATACGCCCAGAAGCAACGAGCATTACTTTGTCTTGCATAAAAACTTGTCGATGTATTTATTAACAGTTTACAATGGTTTCTACCAAAGCTTTCAATGAGGCACTTACTTAAGAGGGTGAATTCTGGCGTGCATGGACCCCATCCTATCCGAACATATACTGTTCAATTGTAAGATGTGAGACACCATGTGGTCAGCTATTATTCGGTCCAAGTTGAAACTGTCTTTGGACCCAGATTTGGACTGGACGTCTCGGAGCGTGTCGAGAATTTCCCAAATTTGTACTGGAATGCATACATATTTACCTCAATAAATGCAGTGTATAAAGAACTGTCATTAAAAAGTAGTTAATCGATATCATCCGAGGGATATTGCCCATATCATCCCGACAGGTGAATAACGACCTTATACTACCCAAAACCTTCTGTTGAATGAGAGAAAAAAGGATTGAATCTTGGAAATATTTACGTTACATATCATCCCACTCAAAAGTACGTAGTAAGGGCAAAATTCAATTTTTGGAAAAAATGAAAATTTTGGGAAAAATGAAACATTTTGAAAAATGAAATATTTTGAAAAATGAGAAATTTTGAAAAATGAAAAATTTTGAAAAATGAAAAATGTAACATTTTTGAATTTAGCCGGGATGATATCAATATCATACCTGATATCATCCCTCTAAACCTGATATCATCCCTGTCCCGAATATGTGATTTATCACTTGCTATTATGTACCTGATATTGCTCTGACCATGGTATAAAACGTTTAATAATGTATTGATGTTTTTTAGAGGGAACATACGCGAAATGCATGGAAAAACTCCCCAATTAATTCTACGTACAACTCGCTGTCCTAAATGTAAGTCATTTAATTTAATTGATCTTTTCAAAGAATATGAGTCTTAGGCTCTAGCTCTGGAAGAAACATCCACCATTCAATGCAGAAGTGTCCCTAGTGTTAGTTCGTCGCTCATTTTATTTCTAAACGAGATAGATTCTCAAATGGTCTTGTACATGTTGTAAACACGTTGATTCAGTGGAAAAGAATTATCATTTTTCATAAAATTGACCATATTTTCAACAGTTTGAGTTCAAGCATTGGAAAATGTTAAGGGAATGATCGAACCAATATACCGTACCCCATACACGTCATTTTTAAAAATTTGTGAAAGACGCAGGGACATTAATTCTATTTGAACGGTGTACGGCGCGAAGAATGTGTACGAAGTGTTTTTGGGAAATATTAGCAGCAATATAATCATAATCATATAATGATAATGGTGGACTTCGTACACACCTTTCACTTCGTACATTTTCATATAAATATAATGCATCGCCCTCTCTGACCTATAATTGGGGCTTGCGTGCAAAATTGTTATTTCGAATACTACCCTGACAAATGTGCATTTTCACTTCTAAGATCCTCTAGTGTCTGTTAAGCTTTCTATTCAGAAAACCTCTGAAGATTTATTTATCCCATTTTAGAAACGATTGCTCAAGTGATTCATACATCTCCATAAAAATAGTTTTTAAATAAATGAATGAAAAAAGCCCACCCTACACATGTTTCATCTTATATATTCCGGCAATGAGGTGTCAGGTGCAAGGGGTAAACATGTCTTCTTTTCATATTGTTCTATTGTCAGCAAAAATGTGACACGACCGTGAATTATTTTGAATTAATTATTACCCCTTATTCGCTCTCAAATTATTTTATTGGTCGATCACGATGTACCATACCCTGCGTGCAGAGTCTAGTTAAACTACAGAAGACGAAGCTCTCTTTTAAGAAGTGAAGTCAAACGAATGCAAAGGGTAGATGTACCAAAATAATCCGATATCAATCTGTTAATTGGTCACGTATATTATTACAAACTTGGTATACGCTGTTTGTTCTATCAGTTCCATGGGTGTCACGAAATGTGACGTTTGCAGTGAAACACACAGGTGAGGAATCTCGTGAACACACATAATCAATAGATCAATACACAATTGGTTCGAATCCCCTTGACTTTAAACTGTAGGATATCTGTTCAGATTTATTCTAACTTGTTCTTGCAAGAAATTAAAAATATAACATTGGCTTATTTAAAAATATATTTCTTCTTAGAAATTAAATGATATGGCTTGAAATAAGCAACAAAGTATCACAGTTATAAAGATGAATATTAGCCATCAAAAAATATAGGCCTCTGTACAAGTGAAGACACTGACATTGGGACTCGAGAGTTCGAAGGACCTAAAGCTTTTAATATGGGAATAAATGGGGATAAATATGGGACTGTTCACAACAAGAGGTGTTCAGCAAGAGGGTACATAAGTAGTTAATTACCTTTAACATCTTCCGGAGGTTGGTGTTTGAAGGATGTCGTGTCCCTATTTGAGACTTGCAATACCATAAATATGGCTTCTGATTTTACTGCCTTGTAGATATCCATTCGATGTTTCAGCGTCGGGAAAGACATTTTGGACGTAAGCGTGACAATCTGGTCCAGTAGTCCCAGTTCATATGTTACCTTGTGTAGAATTTCTTGCTGCTTGTTAAGAGCTTGTTGGAATGCAAATCCAAATGATGTGGCGTATACTAAGCCAGCAGGTGCAAGGAAACATGCGATCGCCTCGTTGATGTTTGGTGGAGCGTTAAAATTTTCCGGAGGCCACATAAGGAGAACCAGAGGCTCGTAAAGGTATAAGGTCAGAGGGCAAAACGCAAGTGATAAAAGTGCGGGAGTTGCTATTTTAAGCAAATCTTTTGGTGTGTTCTGAAAGCGATGTGTGTTTGATAGCACTTCCTTGTCAAAATCAGTGAGTAGCTCATTGTCGTCATAGTCGGGTTCGTCAATCCCCAAACTGCTAATTGTTTCGACGATAGTTTCTGTAGATGCTATTTTTCTCGAAGATCTACTAAGTGATTTACGAAAACATCTGGATAGCAATTTTTTGGTCAAATTATGTTTCTTCCTCCAGTCAGACGTCTGGCCTGCTATGGTTAAAAATATGAGTCCTGAAAGAGGAAAGATAAGAATGTAAGAATAAAATGAGCTCCATTGGGCAATAATGAGTGGAGAATCTACCATTCTGATACAAGTTTCACCATCAATTTTAGATTCAAGCAATGTTCACTAATATCATTCATAATTATTGTACATAGACGCTCTGATTTTACAACTCTCTGCCAATATTACAAATGGGCAAGGCGAACTTTTCCAACACTTGTTTTGAAAAATAGTGTAGAACTTATGATTGATATTATGTGGTGCAATTTATGTGGTGCAATTCACTGGTAACACCATATTGGATCGTTTTCATTGGGGGTTGGTTCGACTTGTAAATATGATACTGCTTCGTTGCCTCGAGCAATATCATATATGCCATATACGCATCCTTACAATTCAAATAAAAGCCATTTTCAATCCCTCAAGAGTAAATAGCTTTTAATCTATTACATTAACTCAAAAAATCCATTTGCACGATCGTTATAGTGAAACCAATCTTTAGACCTTTTGTAAATAATATATATATCCTATTGAGTCTATTGTTATAGATGACGAAATCGGATGTAAATAATATATAATGCAATGTGACCCTAGCCTAAAATGCTTCATACATATCTGTAATAGCTAATTATTGGCTTATTGTAAGTGAAATATATATCCACAAATTGCTTACTCTTCTCATACAGTGCTTAACTTTTCAGAAACATACCAACTTTTCATTTTTTACTTTCTAAAAATGTACACCTATTTTTATTTTATTTTATTTATTTTTAGGAAATCTCAATATTTTCCCAAATACAGTTTTTCAGTCATCCGAATTCTCAATGCTAATAGCAATGACGTGTTGTAAATAAATAATAAATAAAAAGCAATAGACGCCTTTTAGGACGTTGACGCCTTATTCTCTCTCGTATCGTAAAAATGGTGAACGATGCGTTTAGTTCAAACACGCGCAAGATAATTATTACTCTTTAATTTTGACTTTTTGTAAGAATTCGAGTCCCAGTACGTCGAGCTACCATGCTACGCAGATCTGGGCGCAAATCTACCACCCTCAGCCGTAAGCTAAATACGGCAAAATGAGTGGAGGGGAGGCGATTTCTGCTAAAGATTAAACAAATCAGAAAGATTTATTCTTTCATGAGAAAGTATGGTAAAATCTGTTGTTCTATGATTTCTTTGAACTGATATGTTTCTAAAACAAGATATATTTAAAAGGGGTAACGTCACGTAACGTCAACGTAATATATCTGAGAACTCTAATTGCTTTTATATGAAACAAACTTAGTTTCTTATAGGAAGCCAAAATAATTAATGTACGCTATTTTCACTGGAGAGCATATTCACGGTGATATCGTACACTTCCGTTTAGGATATGTAGTCGGAGAGAATGTGACGTGATCGATGGTACTAAACACAGGCATCTGCTTTATTTGATCGTGAAATAGTAACTTTTAAAAATGCCTCACCTACCTAAAACAATTATCAATAGTAGAACCATAGGTGGTAGGACGATTTCATAATACTCCGGTCTTACTTCAGGTTCTGCATAACCAGATTCCCCACCAGGTTCACTCTCGGGTGTCATCCCTGGTTCCGACGCTGCTTCAGGTTCTGCTATTACTTCTGGCTCAGAGTTTGCTTCTGGTTCGGTTTCAGGTGTCACCTCTGACTCGGGTTCGGATGCTACTTCTGGCTCAGTTTCAGAGTTTACTTCTGGCTCGGTCTCGGGGATAACTTCCGATTCAGATTCGGGGATTACTTCAGATTCAGGTTCGGATGTTGCTTCTGATTCAGGCTCAGATGCTACTTCTGGTTCAGGCTCGGATGTTGCTTCTGGTTCAGGCTCGGATGTTGCTTCTGGTTCAGGCTCGGATGTCGCTTCTGGTTCAGGCTCGGATGTTGCTTCTGGTTCAGGCTCGGATGTCGCTTCTGGTTCAGGCTCAGATGTCGCTTCTGGTTCAGGCTCGGATGTTGCTTCTGGTTCAGGCTCGAATGTTGCTTCTGGTTCAGGCTCGGATGTTGCTTCTGGTTCAGGCTCGGATGTTGCTTCTGGTTCAGGCTCGGATGTTGCTTCTGGTTCAGGCTCGGATGTTGCTTCTGGTTCAGGCTCGGATGTTGCTTCTGGTTCAGGCTCGGATGTTGCTTCTGGTTCAGGCTCGGATGTTGCTTCTGGTTCAGGCTCGGATGTTACCTCTGGTTCAGACTCGGCTGTTGCTTCTGGCTCAGGCTCGGATGTTGCTTCTGGTTCAGGCTCGGATGTTGCTTCTGGTTCAGGCTCAGATGTTGCTTCTGGTTCAGGCTCGGATGTTGCTTCTGGTTCAGGCTCGGATGTTGCTTCTGGTTCAGGCTCAGATGTTGCTTCTGGTTCAGGCTCGGATGTTGCTTCTGGTTCAGGCTCGGATGTTACCTCTGGTTCAGACTCGGCTGTTGCTTCTGGCTCAGGCACGGATGTTGCTTCTGGTTCAGGCTCGGATGTCGCTTCTGGTTCAGGCTCAGATGTTGCTTCCGGTTCAGGCTCGGATGTTGCTTCTGGTTCAGGCTCGGATGTTGCTTCCGGTTCAGGCTCGGATGTCGCTTCTGGTTCAGGCTCAGATGTCGCTTCTGGTTCAGGCTCGGATGTTGCTTCTGGTTCAGGCTCGGATGTTGCTTCCGGTTCAGGCTCGGATGTTGCTTCTGGTTCAGGCTCGGATGTTGCTTCTGGTTCAGGCTCAGATGTTGCTTCTGGTTCAGGTTCGGATGTTGCTTCTGGTTCAGGCTCAGATGTTGCTTCTGGTTCAGGCTCGGATGTTGCTTCTGGTTCAGACTCGGATGTTGCTTCTGGTTCAGGCTCGGATGTCGCTTCTGGTTCAGGCTCAGATGTCGCTTCTGGTTCAGGCTCGGATGTTGCTTCTGGTTCAGGCTCGGATGTCGCTTCTGGTTCAGGCTCAGATGTCGCTTCTGGTTCAGGCTCGGATGTTGCTTCTGGTTCAGGCTCAGATGTTGCTTCTGGTTCAGGTTCGGATGTTGCTTCTGGTTCAGGCTCGGATGTCGCTTCTGATTCAGGCTCAGATGTCGCTTCTGGTTCAGGCTCGGATGTCGCTTCTGGTTCAGGCTCGGATGTTGCTTCTGGTTCAGGCTCGGATGTTGCTTCCGGTTCAGGCTCGGATGTTGCTTCTGGTTCAGGCTCGGATGTTGCTTCTGGTTCAGGCTCAGATGTTGCTTCTGGTTCAGGTTCGGATGTTGCTTCTGGTTCAGGCTCGGATGTTGTTTCCGGTTCGGGTTCGGATGTTGCTTCTGGTTCAGGCTCGGATGTTGCTTCTGGCTCAGGCTCGGATGTTACCTCTGGTTCAGGCTCGGATGTTGTTTCCGGTTCGGGTTCGGATGTTGCTTCTGGTTCAGGTTCTGATGTTGTTTCTGGTTCAGGCTCGGATGTTGTCTCAAACTCTGGTTCGGGAGAAGTGTTTGCAGTAGTCGGAGCAGCCTTAACTGATATCACCAACAGTAGCAATATGTGCATCAGATTATTCATCATTATTCCGTGAGAAGCTCGATATTACTTGAAAAGAGCTTGCATTAAGAGACAATCAATCCGTGAAATTATTAGGATATCAACTTCATACCGAATGAAAAGAAATATTGTCAGTCACTACTTTGCAGAAATGTAGATGTTGACGAAAACCCAATAGATTAAAACTGGCTATTATGAATAGAGTATTATGAAATAAAATCTAATAATCCTTTTAAATTGATAGTATTCCAGCGGCTCCATTTGATGCAACTTCATTAAAACACAAAAATATGTTTTCAAGGTTTCTTCGATCGTGTCTTATTATCGTCTTTGTTTATTTTCCAAGTCCGACAAAACCTTTAATCAATACCAATTGCCGCATTCACTGCAATCCGCTTTTTGTATCTGAGTATAGTCTTTACCGATAGTACTTGATAACAGCACCGTAAAGCCAAGGCGTAGCAAACCCCACTAAACATCTAATACAGCGCTTGCATTAGGCTCTGAAAAATGTGAGTCCCAATGAAGGAAAATTTTTTAAAAAGTGAGTCCCGACCGAAAAAAGTGTGCCTCCAATATATAAGCTAAATTAGCTAAATTAGCTATAATGGGCTATTTTGGAATGTGCATGACTTGATCTTACATGTCTTATGTGTTTTCAAAATGTTGCCATTCGTGCCATGTGATTTAAACATGTTCTTTATATTCAATTCACTTATGTTATGTAACCTCCAGCCTGTTATAGTAAGTACTATTATACTGTGATTATCTTTATACTTGCTGTTTGCACTGAACAACTGCTTGAAAAAATAAGAACATTATTAGTATGAATTTGTCTGACGCTCAGTAATTTAGTGTATCACTACATTTTCTACATGATCAGAATCCTCTGATTTATATCATAAATTAGACCATTTTGAAGTTATATAATCACAAATAGACTACTTCACCTAGGTAAGTATGCATCATTTGTACAATTGAACTCATTTTGAAGGTTTTATATCAGCTTTTCAGTGAGAAAAATATGTCACATGCAAACTGATAACCTATTATCGCCCATTACAATAGTTCGTTTTTCTGCATTCTTTTTCTTTTTTACTCAAAATAAAGTTGTAAATCTCACATATTTTGATCTTAATATACACCTCAAAGAAGTCAAACATGATCAACTATTGAGATTTTCAAGATTTTCAAAAAATCTTTAAAGTTTTGACTCAATTTTTTTTCCGTCCCAAAAACGGAAATGTTTTTTATTTTTCCGTCCTACAATTTTTTTTTGCGTCACTTACATGTAAGGGACGCCGTTAATGCAAGCCCTGAATGATGAGGGCCGGACAACACTGCTAGAAATCATGTCTCAAATGGTTAACATAAAAAAGAAGTATCAACAAAATCGCTCTACTACTTTTGCAATTTAAGTAAAACGTTTGAATACTAGTAACACACGTTAAAATGACTGCCATTTTCTAAAATAGCCACCTATATATAAATGGCTGACATTTTTCAAAATGGTTGCCTATTAGCTAAATTGTTATGAAACAATTGTGTGTCTACTTGTAATATGCTTCTGAGTGTTCACGTTTCAAATCTCAACAAAACCGCTCAAACCACTTTTAACCACAGTTATAGCAAAAAAAACTTAATATAACACAAATAAAGTGGCCGCCTACTAGCCAAAATATCATAACTTCATAGGCCAGTATCAGCGAAGGTAACGGCCATAACCTTCGCAACCAAAGCATAACGTCAGCTATAAAGAAGTTCAATTCGATAAAAAAAATAAAAAATATTGAAATCGACCATTAACGTCCGTTTAAAATGTAGATGCGAAGGTTACGGCCGTTACCTTCGCTTGATTTATTATAGCAAATATGAATAAAGTCACTCCACTACTTTTGAAGTTACAGCAAAAATCGTAAAATAGTGTGCATTTCCTCATTAAAAAACATTACAGTTTAATATGCTGTAACTAAAAAACTGTAAAATCGACACTTAAATGGCGGCTACTTTGAAACCGGTAGACATTTTCAAAATCGGCTTTCGAGCAGAACGTACATGTGCATAGTGCAAATGCGTATAAACTACAAACAATATGGGCCAACGGTATTTCAGTTATTGCCTGACGGACGCACGAAGACGTTTTCTATATCACCGACCCCCGAACTTCGTTTCGTTCGATAGGATAATAAACGGTGAAATCTATCAATCCTGTTTATCAGGTATTGAGTGACGAAAACGGAGTCAACTAATAGCTATCCGTCAGCACACATCTAAATTGATTTATTGAACGATCATACATTATTCAATTCAAAACACGCTTCATCTTAGTTACAGTACATTATACATACTTTGGGCAAGAGAAGTCACTTCGTCATCAACGGGCTAATAGCTATAATCTTCATCCTTAATAACCCTAAGATATTTTAATTCTATTTCATAATTGTATGTAATTTCCACAATCAATGGACCTTCTTTGAAAGTAATTGAGCGTGTCTATAAATCCCCATTACATGTTGTAAGCAGTACTACAGGTCCCAAAATTAAATTGAAAAAACTTATCTTCAATTTAAGGTGTTTTGTTGTTGTTTACCGAAACACCTAAAAATAACTGCAATGAAGTGTATATACTGTACATGCAGATTTTTATATTAAAATGCCCAAGACAATAGTATGCTCTATGATCAGATAATGTTACCGACTTCGTTTCTTTACTTAAGGCTAAAAAACATTTTGATCGTCCATCATGTTATGGAATAGGAAAGTATGGGATTACGGAGCTATACTCTCCAAAACTGAATGACAGGATCTTTTTATTTTTGCACATTGGAAAGTTCAATAACTAAAAATACAAATAGAATTAAAATAAATAATCAAAAAGCCATTGTCCTTATGCTATTGCCATCTATTGCCAGTAAATCAGCTTAAAATGCAATAATTACATAACAGAACTGTGCCCAAGTCCATTGATTGTATAAATTACATGTCATTTGGACTAGTAAGTGATTATAATCAAAAACTGCTAAAAGTAAATTGATTTGTATTTACAGGAATCTTCATCAAGAAGTCATATTCTTATTGTTTCCAATAAAAATGCACATGTCATAAGTTCTTGGTCAAACAGCGTGGTTTTAAAATTGATGATTTTATAAAAACACATTTTACCAAAGATACAAAACTCCCTTTGCCATTATTTTATAGAGAAATTTTTTTAGCTTTTAATAAATGTAAAATTAGAAACGATCAAAATCTGTTAGGAGAAATATTTTGGCTAAATGAATCTTTTAAAATTAAAAATGAAGTGGTACACAACATAAAATGGATAAATAGTGGATTTATATATGTTAAAGATTTCTATGATGAAAATGGAACCTTCTATAATGAAAACTATATAAAAAACAAACTTGTTAACAAAAGAAATTGGATGATAGAATGCATTCTTATAAAAACCTGTATAACAAATGTGATGAATAAGTATGATACTACAAAAGTAAAATACACAAACATAAAATACAGAAAAACTTTCCTTTTAGGAAATAATAAATGGATTAAATTAAAAGAGATTAAAACAAATATGCTATATGATATATTGATAAAAAGTAAACAAGAACGAAATGTTTTAGAAAAACTAATAATAAATGGATTAAATTAGAAGAGATGAAAACAAATATGCTATATGATATATTGATAAAAAGTAAACAAGAACGAAATGTTTTAGAAAAACATTGGAATAATATCTTTAGTATTCCTCATGATATAGCGTTTTATGATAAAATATATTCCTTGAAAATAACAAACATGAAATACAAAAAGTATGCTGAATTCAACTTTAAATTACTTCACAACATTTTAGCATGTGGAAGTGAGATATGTAGATGGAACTCTAATATTAACCAAAAGTGTTCAAAATGTAATATAATTCAAAATGCAAAACATCTTATTTTTGAATGTAAGCTAGTAGAAACACTACGGAAGGATGTGGAAAAAATATTGAAATGTAAAATACTTTGGAAACATTTTATTCTGGTTTTTTATTGCATGGAAAGTGATATTTTAGCTTTTAGAAATTTAATACTTACTATTATAGGCTATACAATATATTCAACATGGGTAAAATTGTCGGAAGAAATGAATAAATATGAAAATGTCAACTTCAAATCAAAAATTGCATCTAATTTAAAAATCTACGCAAACTGTGTAAATGAAAACGAAAAAGTAAATCATTATTTAGATCAATTTATTAAAATATTTATATCATAAATATGTTTTCTTTGGTGAAGCTCTATATATTAAAATGTTCTATGTATTTGTAGAAATTGCATGTATTTTTGCATGCTTTTGAATGTATTTGTTTTGTAAATATGTTATGTTGAAATAAATGTTAAAAAAAAGTTCTTGGTATTTTGTGAAATTGCATGCTCTGACAGGGGCATAGTTAGGTATACGCTGAGTCATTGGGCAGGCGAGACAATCACCTCGTCAACATTTCACCAAAAATATGAGGATTTTTAGTTCGTAGTTAGTTTAGGATGGAGTATCATTATTTCCCCCTTTATATAGAAATCTACCTTGAATATTGTTATATTTACCCAACCCACCGAATATAGTAGTACCCTCGACTATTTTGTTACTCTGGGTTGTAAGTTACATAGAGATTGAGAGTGTTGAAGAAGTGATATGTCAAACAAGAGAAAGCACATGAGTAGACAAACTGACAAGGAAATAAGAAGAGATTGGCGTTAGAAATTCCATGAATTTAAAAATGAGTCAGCATATTCAATTTGTATACAGTAAAACTAACATACAGTGAAGACATATAGAGACACAAGAATGTGTTCGTTTTAAGTAGGTGTTTATTACAGAGAAGGTAATTTATACAGAAGTCAGTAGAGTATGTGTGGCGGAAGGGTGTCCACTAGAGTCATGTGTTCACTGGAGAGAGGTGTTCACTAGAGAGGTGTTCACTAGAGAGGTGTTCACTAGAGACAGGTGTTCACTAGAGACAGGTGTTCACTAGAGACAGGTGTTCTCTAGAGACAGATGTTCTCTAGAGACAGGTGTTCACTAGAGACAGGTGTTCACTAGAAACAGGTGTTCTCCAGAGACAGGTGTTCACTAGAGACAGGTGTTCACTAGAGAGGTGTTCACTTAGACAGATCTTATTGTACATATATATTTGACAAAGGAATAATGAACCAGCCAAAAAGGAATAAATCCTTACCCTAAAATATCATAAAATAAGTCATTTGGCTGTACACATGCTAGTCTAACCTTTTTATTGCCATGAGAAATATAAGAATATTTCGGCATATAACATTAGGCCATAAGAAGATTCTTTGTTTTGCGTCCTAGCAAAATCCAAATCATGCAAGGGTACAAGGAAAACAAACACAAACTCAAGAAAAAACACAAACTTGTTTGCTGAGAAATATTTTGCAGTGGTTAAAAACACATATCTATACATTTTATACAATATATTTAAACATAGCTAATATTCAATGGTAAAAAATAAGAGAATACACAATGCATACCAAAGTAATCAATAACACTGTCAATTTTGACGCACATCAAATTATCCGCCATTTTGTCTGATTCTGAATGAACGAAATGCGATGGTACTTTCAGAACATTTTGATTGCTATTTCACGCGGTCCTACCTTCGACCGTTAATTTGAATTTTTGACCTACCGGATGTATGAAAATCAAGGATTACGAGTCTCATACTGCGCCATTTTTCTTCAAACTTGTTCCATTCAAAGCATAACAAAAATCCCTTTCTGATGGTACATTATTCTCTTAAACAGAGTCCCTACTTCCAGCGGCATTTTGGTCCCCAGCTGTAAGAAGGCCTTCTAACAGCTGGGGACCAAAACGCTGCTAGAACGAGGGACTCTTTACAATAAAGTAATGCACCGACAGAAAGGCTTTTTGTTCTGCTTTTAATGGTATAAGTTTGAAGAAAAACGGTGCAGTATGAGACTCGCAATCCTTGATTCTGAAGCACCTGGTAGGTCAAAAATCCAAATTAACGGTCGAAGTTAGGACCGCGTGTATTTGGTTGTGTTTGTTTTTTCTGATTTACTCAAAATCATGCAAGCAAGGGGACGCAAAACAAAGAATCTACTTCTTATAGCCTTATAGCATTTTGCGACAGTGGGCAACCATAACAATGACTCGGTATATTTTAAAAGATGGGGAAAAGAGGTTGCTCAAGTCACCCTATAACTTATACACATACACACATGAACCACACAGTTAAGTGGGTAAAAATTAATACTTCATATAGTAAGAATATAACATAATGTATGAATATAATGAAAATGAAGATGGTTCATTTTGTGAAGGTTCCATGAATAAGCAAACAAAATTGAACATTTTTGTAAATTTGTTTGAGTAAACTTAGAGTGAAGAGGCCTCTATGGATATTTGGGTAGATGTCGCTCCTTATGTCCTTAGCACCTTAAGGCGTTGCATTCTAGCATTGATTTCTGAACATCAGATGAAAACCATGTGAGATACCTTTAAAACGATTTACTGGTAACACAATACAATGTACTTATTTTCCATATAATACGAGAACATTTTTAACAACTTAACTAAATAATGAGCCCTGGCAGGCCCGTAGCCAGGAGGGGTTCGCAGGGTTCGGGCGAACCCCCCCCTGGCCAAAAATTCTTTCAAAATCATGCAGTTTTTGACCATTTTGAGCACTTCTCTAGTGATTTCAGCCTAATTTGGGCCAAAATTGTCAAATGTGAACCCCCCCTGGAAATTTTTGAAAATTGAACCCCCCCTTGGCAAATCCTGGCTACGGGCATGCCTGGCTTATACATTTTACATAAAGCAAGCATTTTGCGTATTTTACGGTTAACATTGGGTAGCTAGTTTTTAAGTACAAAAAGTTTCTGTCAAAAACTGAAGGCCATATCATTAGCTAGTTCACCATGACGGGTTAAACTTAAGGTTTTAGAGATTAAGAGTCGTTTTAGAACTGAAAAAGACCCAAAATGGCAGGGTTTCTAAGAATTATTCTTGCCAATACTAGTGTGGGAAGAAACATCTGGTTTTCATTCTGCACATGCTTTAACTCTGATTAACATTTCAAAAATATATTCATCCAACAATGTAACTTGATATACCTATCAACCAGGTATCTTGATATACTGTAGTGTGATATTTTCAACTAAGTATCTGATAACTCGAGGCTTGGCCATGTGTGCGTTCATGAATTTGCTGCACAAGCTTTGTGATAGCTTTCCTAGGATCAGGCTGTTCCATGACTTGCATTGCATTATGAACAACTTGCATCTCAATGTTAGAATTAAGATCCTTTGGAGTATCATTCAGCTTGTGTTCATCTAGTGAACATTGAGGGGTTTCTGTAGGTTTTTGTGTGGTTGTTGCACACACTTCACTGCTGGAATTGACATCCATTCCAAGTTGCTTTGCCTGCCAGGTTTCCGTGCTCCTAGCATAACATCTAAAATAATGCAGTTCTCCCAAAGCACGTTCAACTGCAGCTTGGTCCAAAAGCTCAATCACATACGTGTACTTCAGAGTTTGTGTAGATGGGTACAACCCTAACGTGGAAACGCCACCCATCAGTAAACAATGCTCGATCTCTTCTTCCATATGTTTGTTGTATTTTGAAATCTTTTTTTTCTTTGTTGACAACACCGGTCCTCGCACTCTCGTTAGCTCAATCCCATGATCTATTCTACTAGGCCTCTTTTTTGTCTGAAGGTTGGGCCAATCATCTTCTTCATTCCATGTTTTCATACCATATCGATTCATGTTATTTTCTGATATACCTTTTACTGGGTAGTTCTCGCTACACTTATATCCAATGAAAGGCGCAAAGTCAAGTTCATTAGTCTTAAATGAACGGATGATTGAAAGAGCTTTAGGCACCTGACCAGGTGGTAGAGCAAAACGTTTCCTGTTTTTTCCCCACGTTTTAAAAATATGGATTTTCTCATGTTTTAAGGAAGCCTGAAGCTCTCCTAACTTATTCCTTATGAATTGTTTGTCATCCTGTCTGCAATGCTTCTTTAACTGGATTTTGCACTTGACACCAATGGTATGGGCAGCTGCTACGTTTTGATCAACTTGTTTTGGTTTACTTGAGCAAGAGGAGTTCAAACCTTTCAGGTTTTGCTGTTGTTTCCCCTCCTGTGTTAAGAGACAATACTGCTTTTGAATATCTACTGGGACATTGGGCAATGGGTAATTTGTGTCAACAATTTCTCCAGAAAAGGGATGTAGGTCTAGCTCTGTAATCTTAAAGTTACTGATAATAGTTAGAGCATTTTTCACCTGCATAGGGGGTATAGCATACTGCTTTATTTTCTGTCCAATTGTTTTAAATATTTTGATTCCTTCATTTTCCAATTCTTTTTTAAGCTCTGCAATTTTCGAAATTTTAACTTTGTCATAATTCTGTCCATTGTGATCTCTAAATTTCTTACGAGTGCAGAACCTGACAGCTACCATGTGAAGAATCCATACCTTAGCATCAGCTGATCTTAGTCTGCTGGCTGGTCCATCTAAATTTTTCTTTCTTTTCAATTCTTTGCTTGTTTTACTGGTATTATCAACATTTGCATTTCCTGTGTTGCATTTGTGTTGCAGCTTTTTCCATTCCTTCATTGTTACAAGCTCATATATCTTTTTCCTTACTGCCCCTACTCGTACAAGCATGAGTTTCCCAAGATTCGCACTAACTACTCTTTTCCCATCAACTGTATATGCCTCTATCGTTTCCAGAGCTTTTTCGACGTGCATTGGTGGTACAACTATATGAGGATAGAGAGTATTAGATTTAACCCCTGGAAATACATGAACAGCTTTTTTAAGTTGCTTCAACAACGTATCAACATGAAGCTGAAGTGAGTTATCAAGACCTTGTCCATATTTTGAGCCACGCTTTTTCCAATATCCTTTCTTGAATTTGGGACGTATGTTAATTTTGATCTGTCGTACCACTACATCATTACAGTCCACATTTCTCCATTCAATAGGCATTGTCTTAATATGATAAGGTTTCCCAATTTCTATAGGGTTCAATTGTTTTGATACACTAGGTTTTAATGAGGTTTTACACATAGATTCAGTGATCAGTTCATCTTCCCTGAGTTCCATTGGATCTATCTTTTCTGGTTCATCGTTTGAATTTCTGTGAGAGTTTGGTTTGACAGTTGCTGTATCTTTCTCCAAACCTTTCTTCTCAATTCTTTTAGCATTGCCAGGAACTATCAGAGATCGGTCACCAACATCCTCGATAATTTCACTAGAGGTATGACTAAGAGGAACCCTATGTGTTGCATTATATTCTCTATATGAATAACCTTGCGGTGACATCAATGCCTCTTTAAACGAAATCTGCATCAAAGGTACTACACTTGTAGACTCCATTTCCCTCTCTGACCCATCAACAGTGTGCTTCTGAGTGTTTTTTAACAAAATGTCACTTGTTTCTGGTAAACTACTGCGATGTGGTAATGGAGGATGATCAGAAATTATTCTCTCAGTAGGAGTAGATTGATCTGCATTAAAAACAGACTGTTCCATACTAAGGGCATTTGTGTCAGCACTGACATCATTTGGAAGTGCCGTTGCAGGAAAATGACTAGACATGGCATTTGTATTAGTTTGAGTGATATCCACTGATAATTGACTGCTTAAAATGATACGATCAGTGAAATCATAAGGGATAGTTTTGTTTCTCTGGGATTGATTATTTCCAGACATCTCTATATCGTGTATATTGCAGATTTCATCGACCTCAGCTCTTGTTGTCAAAGTATTGCCATCAACTTGATCACCCTCAGAGACAGTAGGGCAATCAACTTGAGCGACCATTGCTACATTATTGGCATCAACTTGAGCACCCTTGGTAATAGTATTGTCACCAACTTGAACACCCTTCGTTATTGGATTTCCACTTGACTTGATGACAATTTCAGGTGTTTTCCACTGACCATCCCATTCATCAATTGGGATGAGATGATACTTTGCTTGGGTACTCCCAGAAACCATTATAACCATTGGATCAGTGGCTAACTCCACATTGAAGCAACAAGAGAAGCCAGGACTTGTGCAATCATATTTCAACAATAAGTTAACAGCATCAGAAATCCTGCTAGGGTCTACCACAACGTGTTTATCAGAGTCTCCATTTAAATGAAGCACTTCAATTTCATTGTCCTTTAAATGATCAATGATGCTCTCTGTAATAAGGACTTCATCTAGTGATCCATTAGTATCTTGTCTTGATACTATGATATGTGGGACTAGTACTTCTATAGGGTCTTCCTGGTTCTCAGTTCCAGGAAGAATTGCACTTCTTCCTATGTTCTCAGCATGAGCTTTATCGGCATCTAACAACTCAGAGTGACTCAAATCATCAATATCTGAGTTTCTACGACTTGATCTTAGATCTTCAATCCCTGTATTAGTTGATAAAGGAACTTCACTATTTTCTTTTCCTCTCGCAAGTATGGTATTTAGATCACTATGTGTGGAGTCTGTATTTGTGTTTTGTCCAACCACAGATTTACCTGAGCTTTGATTGACTAATGTTTGTCCTGGTATACCTGTAGGAAGGGGCAATGAATTTGCCTGTGTTTGTATGTTGCTAATGGTATGGCTGGGTATTGATGTGCGAGCATGTTCATTGCTTGTTACGTGGTTGGGAAGTATTGGTGTATTTTCAGTGCTTTCATGAGACTGTGGTACATTGATGAGATCAAGAGCATTCACTTTAGACATGTCATTATGAGTTAATTCAAGCATACTCAAATCTGAGGTCTGTTTTCTTACACTATGACTGTCCATATTGTCCACATTGGTTGAACTGCTATTTTGATAATGGGTATCTACTGGAGCTTGGTCCATAAAAGTACATATAGTCCCTGAGTCATGCTCCTGAGGAGGTTCACTGACTGGTGGTATTGTTTCAATGTGGTTAGTAGAAACTTGTTTAACGATTGGGATAATGGCATCAGTGCCACCATCAGAACTGTCAGTTGTGTTCTTTGCAATGTCATCAAGCCCAATAGACCCTTTCAAGGCACCAACCGTTTCCATGCACTGTTCACAGTAACCTGCCATTGCGAGATGAAGTCTTGTCTGCTTTCCATTAGGTTTAAGATGATATTCCAAAACCAGTATTTTGGTGAGTTTCTCTAAACCTGGAAAACAAAAATCTCACATTTTAGTATCCATGGATAAAGAATATACCCTAGTTGAAACATTTTGGTAATTAGTATGTGCTACATCCTCCCTGACTCATAATACAAGTTGGGCCAAAATGGCAAAGACAAAAATAGAATTACAATTAGGATTACAATAATTTCACATTAGTGTGTTAGAAACATAGTTGAACAAATAAAAGTAAGACAAAAATGATTTAGCATCAAGAAAAAGTGGTCAGGGGAAATCTGCCTGTGTTGAAATCTAATTTGTGGTAACTGGAAGGTCAGAACTAAGTGCTAGATTTAGCCCACAACTTCAAAGTACCGAGAGAGGTAATGCAGCTATCGTTACATTCTTTTTCAAAATGGCTTACAGTAAATGTTGATTTTGATATTTTTAGTTTTCAATGATTTAAACCACAATCCAATTATATCTTCTCTTGCTTTTCACAGAGTAAGATAAATTCTTCATTCCTGCTTTTGCAATTCCAGCCAAAAAGCTAGGAAACTTTGTAAATCTGATTACCAAATTTTCTGGAATAGTAATTTACCCAGCATGCCCAATACCTAATCAGATCTTGGCAATAGTCACTTCTCTTGAATCTGTAAAAGATTCAAGTTGAATAGTAAAGTAGTTTGCTGCAATTTTTATGATGAGATTCATATGGCATCTGTCGCCTTACCCACCCAGACACACACACACAAATACATCAGCACAAACACATTGGCTGTTGTGAAAAAATGTGATCTTTTATAAAGATATACATTGCAACTTTAGTTCAGTTTGAACTTAACTATATATGATATTTGAAGCAAATCTGATGAGCACTTTTTCAGGAATCCTGAGGAGAATAAATATTGAAAACAATCTAAATTAGCCAAAGAATACAAAAGCTGCAGCCAAAGTTTATCAGCTCATAAGAGCTGTCTGAGATCATCTCATCTAACATTTTGTGTTTGAAGGAAGTGTGATGAGCATTTTTACTTGAACTGTGATGATTATCAGAAGAAGAAGATGTTCTAAAAAGTTGTGTTGAAGGCATACTAAATATTGAAATCAAGTTGTTAAGCATTAAAGGTCCACTATACTTAACTTAGAAAAAAAATCATTGAAACATGTTACTCACACACTCGGTCAAATATGACACAAAGTTTGATTTGCTTAAATATTGAACCAAGAAAAAAAATAACTCACATATAAAAAAGTGTTTGAAGTTCAGAGATCATTAGACATGCATGCACATGTTAAACAAAGTGCATGTTTTAAATTACTGATGATTTAAAAGATGACAACACTTCTATGACAAGGCATTAACATGACAAAATGTGACCACCTAGTTGCTCACAATATAATGAGTTCAATCTTAAGTCAGATTTGAATTTCTGAGAACTTGTAGATGATAAAGAAAAAATAAATTGGTCATTTGAAGCAAGTTGAAAAAAGATCTTTTTTCAACATAAGAAGGTCATTGAAGGTGAAATCTCAAATCTATAGTCAGATTTGAACTTCTGAGAACTTGTAGATAATTTTGAAAAAAAAATTTGGTCAATTTGAAGCAAGATGAAAAAGACCTTTTTGACCTTGAGAAGGTCATTGAAGGTCAAATCTTTTTTGGCCTTGAGAATGTCATTGAATGTCAAATCTATAGTCAGATTTGAACTTCTGATAATTTGTAGATGATTTTGAAAAAAAGATTGGTCAACTTGAAGCAAGTTGAAAAAAGACCTTTTTGACCTTTTTGACCTTTTTTTACCTTTCAAAGGTCATTAAAGGTCAAATCTTTTTTGACCTTGAGAATGTCATCGAATGTCAAAACTATAGTCAGATCTGAACTTCTGAGAACTTGTAGAAGATTTTGAAAAAAAATTGGTCAATTTGAAGCAAGTTGAAAAATGACCTTTTTGGTGGTGACATAAAAATGAATGTATCATGTAATACAAACAACTTTGCCATCTTTCAATGACATTGCTAAAAATTTGATATATAAAGCTTAACAGATCCAAAATATTTATTGATAATTTATTGTAAGCTTTAATGTGGTCCGTTTGAGCTTTTGTTGGTGTCATTGGACACACTATGATATTCAAATGCAGGTCTTTATTTTGCCCAAAAACTTTGAAAAATATGCAAAGTGGGCCTTTAAGTTGGTATTTTTGTAATCAGAAAGTGTTATTGGAAAATGAATAATTTTGTTATTTCTGTGAGATACAACAAAAATGAACAAGGCATTAACATGACAAAATGTCACCACCTAGTTGCTCACAATATTATTAGTTCAATCTTAAGTCAGATTTGAATTTCTGAGAACTTGTAGATGATTTTGAAAAAATTGGTCAATTTGAAGCAAGTTGAAAAATACCTTTTGCTACCCTGAGAATGTCATTGAAGGTGATATCTCAAATCTTATGTCAAATTTGAACTTCTGAGAACTTGTAGATGATTATGAAAAAAAGTCAGTCTAAACAGTATTTGTTAAGTTATTGGAAGTTTTAAGAATTTGTTACAGATGCCAACCGCCACCTGCCAATCGCCAACCACCAATGGCCGCCACAAAAAACGGAGACCTGGCAATATGTCACCACTTTTTAGTGGTGACAAAAAAAGCCTAAACAAAGACACTACCTGTGTTGAGGTTGCACGGCAACACACTGACGCACAGTCTCCCAGGATTCTTCTTCAAAATGGCTGCTACTGTAATCCCGCAGGAGATGAAGATTTTCTCATACATAGCAAAGTCTGGCTCATCCTCGAGAGAGAATTTCAGATCTAATACAGGAAGATTCACAGAGCGGCATCTCAAATCCAATTTATCTTGATGTGAATTTATCCAGTAATGTCCAGTATTGTGAATGTTGTTAAGAATTCTTTCAATTTGTGGTTTTGTTTTTCTGACATATTTAGGTTTGATCATCCCTCTAGCCACAATATTCATCTGTTTGTACTGGAGAACGTTCAATCCTTTTATACAGGCCTACAAAAGCAATGGAATTAAAATACACATGTTCCAAAGTAGGAGTTGAATCACTGAGTTCAGTTTTCAGTTTTAATTCAGTTTTCCTGAAATTGCGATGATAAAACTGAAGGAAAAACTTCTGAAATGGCTGCCAGAAAACAAGATGACCATTGACCACCCAAATGTTAATCTGTGGTAGTAAGCTGTAACAAAAATCTATGGATTATCCATGAAAATGGGAAATAATATTTTTGGATAATATGATGTAATCTTATAGTAAAAAACATTTCATAATGTATTGATGTTTTTTATGTAAAACATAAGCAAAATGTGTAAAGAAACTCAAAATTCATTCTACATTTAACTTGTGGTCCTTTATTTTGAAAATTTCTGACACTGATGAATATCACCTGATCTTTTATGACATGTGACGCAGTTTTCACCAATCGTACAATCGTAAGCTTAACATATAATAAATATAATTATTGCTGTCATTTTTCAAAATGGCTTCAATATCAGCTGGATCTGTTTTGGCTTTCATGTATTTATATGTAAACTTGATATTCGCTAATTTGAAATGAATATTGGCCACCATTTTTTAAAATTAGCTTCATATTTGGAGATTTTCAACTAAATAAGTATTTAAATATAATTCTAATAGATATATTAGATAGAAAATAGAAAATACATATGTACCCACTTTATGAATGCAAAAAACCTCAATCGCTCAAAAATAGGTCATATATTTTGCAATAAAGTATAGAATCATTCTCAGTCTTTATTCCTTTTAAAATTAAAACACAGATAAGTGGCCAAAAACAAACAAATCCTCCAGAACAATCTTATAATGCACAAAGAAACAGTTTTTGACTCGTACCTATGCAATGATCTCCTCACCCTAATCAATGCCCTGTTGTGCAAAGGGTGCAAACAGATCATCAACAGGATGACATATGTCTTTCAAATGTTAACAGGGTATGCTAGTTGCTCTAATGCTATGGTTAACTAAGGTAACCCAGAGGTAACACAGAGAAAGAAAGAAGAGAACTCATGTTCACACTCCAACTCACCTGAAATGCCCAGGGTGCAACAAGTATGCCAACAGACCATTTCCTTTTAGGTGGCTCCATGTGAATACACTCAGTTGTGGTCATATCATTGAAACCAGCAAGAATCTCTTCCAATGATTTCTTGATGAAATCTGAGAACTCACAGAGAGAATCATGGTCTATGGGGCAGGGGGACTGCAGTGATGTTATTATATATGACATTTGCATCAGCCTACTTTCGTCCATTGTGTCACTTCCTACTTGATCATTACACATGGCAATTGCGCCTAATGATGTCACAGGGTCAATTGCTGCTGGTGTTTGACTTTGGGTAGCATTGGAGGGTCTACAAGGAGAGCCTATTTCAACTGTCTCAATCTTGTCCTCCTTTGTGAGTGACTCAATCATGATTACATCATCAGCATCAGTTTCATAGTCATCACTGGATTCAAACTTCCTTTTACCAGTCATAGTATCAACAACAGCCCTTCGCTTTGCAGGTGGAGTAAAAAAACAGTTGTCCTGCAAACGTTTTAAGGACGTTGACTCCTTTGAATGATGATCCTGATCCAAGACAGTCTTAAGCTGTGCTAGAAAAGCCTTTATATTAGCTTCAAAGTCCTTATAAGCTGCAACCTCTGTTGCCAACTCATGATCTGGTTTAATTACATAATCTTTGATTTCAATGTGAACATTATTCCTCGACACAATGCTTCCTGATGTAATCAAATTGACCACTTTGATGAAATGTTGCGCTCTAACAATCAGGGTTAATTTGAGGTTATTTATATCTTTCTCTTGGTACACTATGCCGACTCTGCTACTCAGGTCTTGTTCCAGTTTAACCAGGCTCATCTTGTCGCGTGTTGTTATGACGATCATTGGCACCTCCATTGTAGCTGGTGACTCTGGAACTAATAGATATACAGTTGATACATTTTGATTATTTGGGGCTGACATCTTTGGCATTGGTATAGCAATCTTTTTGAAACCAAATTACAAGGTGACACATGAATGCATCACGTAAGATTCAGTTTTTGTTTTGTTGATACACTTTATGCTTAAAATGTCCTCTTAAATCCAAGAGGGAATGTTTAGTTTAGTTTAGTTTTAGAATGTAGATTCAATGCATGGTATCAGTGAAATAAATGAGTTTGTTCAGCATCTATATTTGAAACTTGATAGGCGTAAAATTAAGCAAATATGTGTGCTATAAGAAAACATGTATGGTTAAACAGGCCCGTAGCCAGGATTTGCCAAGGGGGGGTTCAATTTTCAAAAATTTCCAGGGGGGGGTTCACATTTGACAATTTTGGCCCAAATTAGGCTAAAATCACTAGAGAAGTGCTCAAAATGGTCAAAAACTGCATGATTTTGAAAGAATTTTTGGCCAGGGGGGGGTTCGCCCGAACCCTGCGAACCCCCCCTGGCTACAGGCCTGGTTAAATGATTTTAGACAGTCATAAGCATCCTTCTTCAAAGGACTTCATTTATGCTCAAATATACTTGTTAAATACCCTTGTAGCAAGGATGGTCATAAGGACCATTTGTGCTTTCTACCAGTATAAGTAACAAAATAAACTTTTAAAACAATGTGTTTTCCTCCAAGACTGTATTTATCCAAGGATTATGATCCTGCCTGAGCATTTTCAAGAAAATGTTTGTCTAGTTTTTGGAAAAATCTCCAAACATGTTTTACAAAATCAATATTCAAGACAGTGTTCCATAAAATCTTATATCTTCCATAAAGTCTTATATCTTCGATCCATAAAGTCTTATATCTTCCATAAAGTTACGTCATTTTGGATGTCAGCAGATACGATGACCGATTCATGAGAAACCCTGATCATTCAGTGTGTCATTAAAACAGTTTACTTTGGTTTTATTTGATGTACCCTGCTATCTCACCTCATAATAAAATCTCTTGTCATTGTTTGCTTACTTTTTTCTATTTGATGTGTGTCAAAATGTTGATGATCTCTTGTAACTTTACAGCTTTCATGACACCTGGATTTGCTATTGGCTTTGGATGGCTGACTTGTCTTCTCATGTCCAGAGGGATCAATGATCTGAACATCTTCACTGGACGAGTCTCCTTGCAGGTTTAGAGTTCTCTGACTTCTGTTTAAAGACATTATGGTCTCTCACCAATTCACCACCACCACTGTCTCTCACCACCAGCTGTAACGAATGAAAATGACATCAAAACACCTCTAAACCATCAGATATGTAAGGGCTATTATATTACATTATTATACATGGGCATAGCAAGGAGGGGCGGGGGGGGGGGGGGTAGCGACCCATTTGGCAACCAATTTTTAATTGCAAAAATTTACCAATTAATGTTTGGAACAAAACGAGGTTGAACGGCACAGAAGTATTGTCACATAAATAGTGAATATTCTTTTTATTAAGAGGTCAAGAAAATTCAACATTAATCTGTTAAAAACACCCCTAAACCATCAGATATGTAAGTGATACATAGCAGGAGATGCCAATGTTCCAAGACTGAGGGCCAACCAACATACCCAGAATTGACAATTCACATACATAACTAGACAACAGAAATGCCAAAGCATAGCAAATCCCATGGAACAGCCATGGCTGGCATTTTTACAAACAAAGTACCGTATTATCTCTATTAAACGCACACTCTCTAATAAACGTATTCCCGACTTTTTGTCCCAGGTTAGAAAGTCCTGTCCAGATAATATTGAGATCTGACGAAGCTCTAATAAAAAAAACATTGTGGGTGATAATAGAGAATTTTCACCGTTCGTTAAAATAATGCATCATGATTCATGACGTCACGATTTCCCATCATGCAACGTAAGAAATTTCTTCAGGTGTTCGTGTAAATAACACACAATAGTGTATTTATATACTAAATTTGTCGTCTAGGAGCTCACAATTCAAGGTTAAAACATAACATATAGCATATTCTCTCTAATAAATGCACGTATTTCATACTTGAGTGGGTTTGGGGTAGATATCACCCGGGAATATATATCATATCTGAGGAGCGGGCAGGATATATTGTATATGTCCCGCTCTAGGCCAAATGCGGGCAGATATAATATATCCATCCCGCTCCCGGGAATTTTTTCAAAAGTTTAAAAGAGTTTAAAAATTTAAAAAAAAGTTTAAATGTTACAATTCTATTGTATTGAACTGAAGGAATATTATGAAAATGTTAAATATAAATTGTGCTTTTACAGTATAGGCCTATCTTGTCATTTGAAAAAGGTGGTAAAGGTTATATCTACCCCAAACCCACTCAAGTATGAGATACACCAGTTATGTACGGTCGGTTTTGGATACAGTGTTTATCCCGCGGGACATATGTGTATCTCCCTCGGTCCCTGCGGTCCCTCGTGAGATACACATATTTCCCTTGGGATAAACCCTGTATCCAAAACCTCCCAGTACATAACCCTTATATATCTACTATATTTGATCGATTTAAGGTATAGAAGTAAATTTTCACCCATTAGCGCCACCATCATAATTTTTTAGAATTCCCGGGGATTTAGCTGCTTGAAACCTCTCCCCCACGGGAATTTGCTAAGCGCACTGTGCGTTTGATAGAAATAATACGGTATATAGCAAAAATAGGACCCACGGTCCTGTGCTCACACAGTTTGGAACCTTCAGAGGAATGTATATCCTGACTTTCAAACAAAAATATTGTTTTGGATTTGTAGTCTCGAACTTTGAGAAACTTAGATAGCACAGTTGTGTGACCTAGTTTGATAACCTTTGACCTTGAAAATTTTACTTATTCAGAGCTCAGTAAGGTCTTTTGTGATTAAGCTGACCAAAATTTACATCCAAAAATCAATTTGAAAAATCAACTTTTTGACCTTTCAAAGGTCACTGAAGGTCAAGTAAAGGTCAAATTCTAACACTTATGTCAGATTTGAACTCCTGGTAACTTGTAGATGATTTTCCCCAAAAATTGGTCAAATTGAAGCAAGTTGAAAAATAACTTATTTTTACTGTTTTTTGACGTCAAATATCTCAAAAACGGTAAAAATTTGATGCTGACATATATTGAGCAATTTGTAGGGAATTCTTAAATCTAGTTATGATGTAATTCATTACAAGAAATGATCAAGTATAAGGCAAACTTTGAGAAACTTGTCAATCACAAAACCTGCCATTGACTTTATACATGAGAAAGTTTCCTGAAAATGACAAAGTCCTACTTTTTGTCAAATTTTATAGAGTAAACACCAAAAACTGTAATTCCAAGAGCTTTGAAATCTTCAGAGAACATAAGTTGCACATACAGCAACTACTACAAGTTATTTGAAAGTTCTACTTCAACAAAGTGTCTAGTTTTTACAGAAAATTTGACTTTTTGACGTCAAAATCAGCAATTTCTCGGAAACCGGGCAAACTTGGGAAATGGCGATATTAGGTCAAATAGGCATTATGGATATGCATAAAATGACTGTAGATATGACTCAATCCGAATAGCAGTTTTAATTTGTGCGGCCAATGTTGACGGACGGACGGACGGACCAACAGACGGACGGACCAACAGACGGACGCCTGGTCGATCTCATAGGCTCACTGCTTGAGCCAAAAATGGTTGCTCACTGGCCAGATTGTCATCAGAAAGTGTAATATGCTTCTAATAAGGCACATATAAAATTTCAACAAATTCGTACACACGTACATGTAAATTTTTCAAAATGGCTGCCTACTCCCCAAAGTTTCATTAGACAGTGTGCCATGGTTATAGTATTCACATATCAAATATGAACAAAATCACTCAACTACTTTTCAAGTTATAAAACGTAAAAATGACCGTCTACTACCCAAAGTGTCATTAGACAGTGTGGCATGCTTATAGTATTCAATTACCAAATATGAACAAAATTGCTCTGCTACTTTTCGAGTTATAGTAAAAAACGTAAAAATGGTGGCCATATTACTAAAAGTGTTAAGACAGTGTGCCATGCTTATAGTATGCAATTACCAAATATGAACAAAATTGCTCTGCTACTTTTCGAGTTATAGTAAAAAACGTAAAAATGGTGGCCATATTACCAAAAGTGTCATTAGACAGTGTGCCATGCTTATAGTATTCAATTACCAAATATGAACAAAATTGCTCTGCTACTTTTCGAGTTATAGTAAAAATCGTAAAAATGGTGGCCATATTACCAAAAGTGTCATTAGACAGTGTGCCATGCTTATAGTATTCAATTACCAAATATGAACAAAATTGCTCTGCTACTTTTTGAGTTATAGTAAAAAACGTAAAAATGGTGGCCATATTACCAAAAGTGTCATTAGACAGTGTGCCATGCTTATAGTATTCAATTACCAAATATGAACAAAATTGCTCTGCTACTTTTCGAGTTATAGTAAAAAAAGTAAAAATGGTGGCCATATTACCAAAAGTGTCATTAGACAGTGTGCCATGCTTAAAGTATTCCCATACCAAATATAAAAAAATCGCTCTACTACTTTTTGAGTTACAGCAAAAAAAGCAAAATAGCGTGTAAAGGCCGCCATTTTTCAAGATGGCTTCTATGTGCTTCTTTAATATCTACATTTCTTGCTTTATTAATGTCCGATATAATTGTTTTACATTTAAAACATATTGCTATTACAGTTTCACATATTGTACCTAATTACTGTAAAATCGGCACTAAAATGGCTGTCATTTTGAAATAAGTGGCCATTTTGAAAATCTGCTTTCGAGCAGAACTTCTACCCCCATAGAGCATATGTGTACAAACTATGAACGAAATCGGGCCAGTGGAGTTTGAGTTATTGCCCAGACAAACAGACGGACGGAGGCATTCCCTATATCCCTCCGAACTTTGTTCCAAGTGCCTTGGCCAGTAATAAGTGGTCAACCAAATAGGATGGCCTAGAAGGTTGATATGTAGCAAAGCTGTGGCCATTTGTAATTCATGGAGTTTCAGCCAAGTTTACAGGGTGGTCAAAAAAATTGGAACATTTGTTAATTGAACTCAAAACCTTTATGTCAGAGGTGAGTGATTGTATAACCCATACAGCTACTTAAGTGACAAAATCATTGTTTCCACTTTTCATTAAAGAGGAAACTGACCAGTTATTTACAAGGCTTTATGAAAGACCACCTCTAAGCACATATGATATACCATTTGTGTTCTGGGAGACTCCTTAATGATATTGATATACATATATTGATATATTCAATGAATACTATTCATATTAGAACAAGAAAGGGGGGGGGGGCTTCATTTACCTGTCAAAACAGACTGCACTGGCCTCTTTCTGGAGAATATTCAATCAGTAATACACCAAACAATAGCCATAAAAATATGATTGATACCCATCAATTTGGGTAAAAATATGTTGAATAAGTTCATATACCTGGTATTTGATCTTCCAAGGCAAACATATTAAATAGTTTGTTCCAGCTTAATCTTTTAATCAAGATGGCTTGGACAAAATCAAGCAAACAGCGAGTTGAATGAATCATTTCAAAACTGAGTCCCAGGCTTCAACAGACTTTACAAAATATGTTTCCATACGTTGTATAAAAAATAATCGAAAATAATTAAAATGGGACGGAGGGTGGGAGGGGACGGAGGGGGGAGCAATATGTCTATAAGATATGATATGAGATGTTACTTCACTTTATATCCAAATTTTCCCATTTTCTCCTCAATTACAATGGGTTAGGAATTGATAACAAGTTGTATTATTTTTTATACAACGTATGGAAACGTATTTTGTAAAGTCATTAGGTCATTAATTTTATGATGATAATGTCAATTACAAATATTTATTGCATTTATTGTATTTTTTCAAAAGTAATATGGCAGAGAAGCATCAAAATATAAACGTAAAGGCTAGAATTGTCGGTAGGGGAGACTTCGCTGTGTGGCCACACTAGAGGACCGACAAATAATTGTAGGCACTTTAGAGCCCCTCCTAGTAGGAAACGCTAGAGAACCAAATGTCGACACTTAAGCCACTCCTAATAGGATCTAAAAGAGAACCAACCAAAAGTCTGTGGGTGCTAAAAACGGAAAAACATGGTAAATTTGCAAGCATAGTGATTTCACTTTTATTTGTGTGAATGTAACATCGCGAATTTAACTCTCTAATTTTTCTGAGTAACGTGGATGAATTAATGGAACAAATGAAGAATAAAATCTACTGATATACATTATTTCTAAATGTGTTTTGTTTATTTTATTCAAGTGTTATTTGCAATTATAAAACAAACATGAAGACAAACTTAAAAGTCGGATCTGGATACATTTGTTTGTTTCATGATACATGTTCTATTATAAACAACTAGAGATTTAAGATTGCAAGCAATCTTAAGGAGGCCCTGTAGGCGTTTTTGGCAATTTGAATGTCAGCCAAAGGTCAAATCTCAAATCTAGGGTCATATACTAACACCAGGCAGTCAATTGCTAATATGTGTAGAAACTATAGAGGAATATATATCCTGACTTTCATGAAAAAATATTGATTTGTAGTCACCAAAACTTAGAAACTTCGAAAACAAAGTTGGTGATTTAATTTGATGACCTTGACCTTTGATCTTGCAAATTTTACTTTAATTGACCTCAGTAGGTATTTTGTGATCAAATATACCTAAATTTGAATCCAGAAAATCGATTTAAAAAATCAACTTTTTTTACCTTCCGAAGGTCACTGAAGGTCAACCAAAGGTCAAGGGTCAAAAGTAAGGTCAGATTTGGATTCCTGAGATCTTGTAAAATTTATATCCAAAAATCAATTTGAAAAATCAACTTTTTTGACCTTTCAAAGGTCACTGAAGGTCAAGTAAAGGTCAAATCCTAAAACTAATGTCAGATTTGAACTCCTGGTAACTTGTAGATGATTTTCAAAAAAAATTTTGGTCAAATTGAAGCAAGTTGAAAAATAACTTATTTTTACTGTTTTTTGACGTCAAATATCTCAAAAACGGTAAAAACTTGATGCAGACATATATTGAGCAATATGTAGGGAATGCTTAAATCTAGTTATGATGTAATTCATTGCAAGAAATGATCAAGTATAAGGCAAACTTTGAGAAACTTGTCAATCACAAAACCTGCCATTGACTTTATATATGAGAAAGTTTCCTGAAAATGACGAAGTCCTACTTTTTGTCAAATTTAATAGAGTAAACACCAAAAACTGTTATTCCAAGAGCTTTGAAATCTTCAGAGGACATAAGTTGCATATACAGCAACTACTTCAAGTTATTTGAAAGTTCTACTTCAACAAAGTGTCCTAAGTATTTACAGAAAATTTGACTTTTTGACGTCAAATCAGCAATTTCTCGGAAACCGGGCGAACTTGGGAAATGGCGATGATAGGTCAAATAGGCATTATGGATATGCATAAAATGACTGTGGATATGACTCAATCTGAATAGCAGTTTTAATTTGTGCAGCCAATGTTGACGGATGGACGGACGGACCAACGGACGGACGCCTGGTCGATCCTATAGGCTCACTGTGTGAGCCAAAAATAATCTCAAACAATGTTGCACTCAATATTTTTCGAAACAGGTTTTATTTCTTATCACAGATTAGTGCAGTTTTATAAGAGACAATTCGTTTCGTAAACAGGATGGATTAATATTAGTATCCGTGTATTGTCATGGTAAATCGCAAAACATCGGGAAAACATGAATTAGTAAGCCAGCCAGACTTTGAGGGTAAGCCAGATCATAGTAGTATAGTATTGTCAATGGCTCAAAATATTTATTGAGCTGGACCAGGCCCGTAGCCAGGGGGTGTTTGCAGGGTTCGGGCAACCCCACTCCTGGCCAAAAATTCTTTCAAAATCATGCAGTTTTTCACCATTTTGAGCACTTCTCAAGTGATTTTAGCCATATATGGACCAAAATTGTCTAATGTGAACCCCCCCCCTGGAAATTTTCCCTTGGCAAATCCTGGCTACGGGCCTGTACGACTGATATAAAAAGAAATAAAAAGAAGAATTTCAAAATTGGGTCCACAAAAGAAGCAAAAAGTATAATCTAGCTGAGACTAATATAAAATTTATGTTAGTCTCAGAATCTAGACACAGAAAAAAGGGTGTGCCTCCTAAGAGGGATTCTAACTCGGTACCATGTGCGTAAAAAATCCAAGTAGGGGCCACTTACGTACAGACATTTTGTCGGTCCTCTATCTGGCCCAACTAGGTGACGATAGAGAGAAAACAAATGTGGGTACACAAGCAAATACTCACTGGGCAGTCTCCAGTAACGATGTGATGGAATCATGGGCTTTAAGATCTCTCGAAAGCCCATGGAATATATTAAAGTGCACATTCAGCAAAAATATTATACATTCAAAGTTCATAAAACGTGGATGAATGAAGTTGAATAAAATGTATTGTTGCATGTTACAAAAGCAATAAAAGATACATAGTTATGATAAATAAGATATATTCTTGTGATATAAGATAAAGCAAACTCACACTGCCTTGCAGAATTCAGGATTTTTAACGTTGAAAGTCATCAAGACTCCCATAAGATTTTTTCAAAATATGTAGACTTATTTCCGGTAAGGTGTAAAATGCAGATATCGATTTAGATTCTATGTTCACCTTAATGTCATATTGAGATGATCATTTTATCAAATAATTTTGATCTTCAAAACAATGTTTGAACTATACTTCTTTCTAATTATCAGATCAAATAGATCATGTAAGGATCTTCCATTTTTCCGATAACTGGTATTTTGCGAAAGATATCCGCAATAGACTGAAACAGATACTTCCGGAATAAATCGTTTTAAAAAAGTGAGTTTGTTTTTTACTGTTTGTTGTTCTTCATTGCCATAAATAGCTTGTTATAAAAGGTCTTATTTGATTAGAAAATAAAGCTATATGGGCAATAAATTACTCAAGTATCGGACAGAAAATCTTCGGAAACCTTTTATTCCCTTGGTATTCTGGGGTCAATTTACCGACCTCCCAAAAATATGACCCTCGTACTGACCTTTATTTTTTCCATCTGTCAGACATTGATTGATCAATATTTACCATGTAATCTCTTCTTTATGTTTTGGTTTGAATGGTTGCATGATATCCATTATTGATGCTGTAATTCAAATTTTCCCGGGACATTTATTTCAAATTTTCAGAGCATAAAGATAATGGAGTGCCTCGGTAATTTAAGGCAGTGTCCGATGTTGTTCGTATCTCAAATTACGTCACATCGCAACAAACAGCCAATGAAAGTGAAGAATCGCGTAGCCTAACAAACCGTTGTTATTTACTCACTTTGAGAGCCATGTTAGATTTTGAAACTTATGGCTCTCAAACGGGGAAGTGGACAGCTGATTAATAGTGACCTTTATACATCATTATCATCCTTCTGTGCTAGTATTGGAGCGCTGAAGTACTTCCTTTTCGATCAAGACTTGTAATTGTTAGTCCAGTGAATGTTTTACTGCCAAATTCCAATATGGCGTTTTCTGCTCGGACATTTTCGTAAATCTCCGGAGGTTGTCCGAACCTAACTAATTTTCAAATTTCATTTCGTTCGTTGTGTATCTCGCTCCTAGCAAACCGCCATATTGGAAATAGGTCTAAAAAACATTCACTCGATGAACAATTTACAATCTGATCGAAAAAGAAGTATTTCAGCGCTAATTTTCAAATTTCATTTCGTTCGTTGTGTATCTCGCTCCTAGCAAACCGCCATATTGGAAATAGGTCTAAAAAACATTCACTCGATGAACAATTTACAAGTGTCTTGATCGAAAAAGAAGTATTTCAGCGCTCTAATACTTACACGGATTGATGATACTGATGTAAGACACAGTTAGAGACCAAAAGTAAGCCGCTGATCGACTTAATTCGATTTCAAAGGTCACTATCATTCAGCTGTCCAAATGCTCCGTGGGAAAGCTAGTATATCAAAATCCAAATAGCTTTCGCAGGAAGTAAGTTGTTATTGTTTCTACAGGAGTTTAAAGAAATGTCATGGGACTTCTCGGTAATCTCTGATGTGACGTCATCCGGAGTGGCGTCACATTCTCAGAAGAGGCATTTGACTTCGGGATTAAACATTTGAACAATGGAAATAGCCGAAGAACTCCATTAAATGTATGCTCGCTTTTTTATGCTTTTATCAACAGACAATTTCTTGAATGTGTGGTTTTAGTGATTGGAGTTGAAGCTAACAACAGTACGCATCGCTTGAGGTATGCCATGAGATATTTATTGATAAACTGACTCCAAAATCAAGGAAAAATAAATTTTCCGAAGATCCTGTGTCTTGTCCTTGAGTATATATTTATTCTAGTCAACTTAAAATGCTTACTCTAAAAACATGCTGATATTATTTGAACAGTGCAATAATTGTATATTATAGAACAGTATATATTTATTTAATGGACATTGTTCCAGATTGTAGAAGGACCTAAGTGTCTCATAAGCCGACACCGGCTGGTAGTGTTTTAGTTTACTTTGTATTTGACATTGTATAATTTTAACACTAGTGACACTATAATAAAATTTATTGAAACCAGCAATCGGCTAAGTATATATATAATATAGATTAACAATAATGTCTAGAATGCACTTTCCCCATGTGAGCCCAGTACCCATGGTACTATTTATTAAAATTAGAAATCATTGTCATGAGTTTTGAAAAGATTGCTTCAATCTTCCTACATTTAACTATCTTCATCTCTTCTTATTCCTTTTACTGGTGTCTAGGTCATAGTAAGCTTTATATTAAGAGATGTCAACAAAACCTTTATTTTGAACGCATGATTCATTTCTTTGGTACCTGGATTTCTTCATTGCTAATGGTTTGTACATGTAATATTTGGGTATTCAATTGTTTGAATAGCTCAACTGAAAATTGTCATGTTGACCTAATCAAAAATGGCCACTTCAGCATCTTAATTTTAACGTAACAGGAAATGAGAAAATGATGTATACTGTAAAACTTGCCGTAGTGACTAGTGAACACCTCTCTCTAGTGAACACCTGTCTCTAGTAGACACCCTTCCTCCTAACATACTCGACTGACTTCTGTATAACTTAATAAATTAACCTCTCTGTATTGAACACCTACCTACAGTATATATACGTTTGTATTCCATACCTACTAAGGTTCTAGGTAAATAACGAGCGGGAATATATACTGTATCTAGTGATCTATCACCGAGGAGCGGGGCGGGATGGATACAGCCTGTATCCATCCCGGTCCCACTCATGAAAAAAAAATTATTTTTTGTTCTAAATTTTTTTTTCAACATTTTTTCAAATTTTTTTTCAAATTTTTTTCAAATTTTTTTTAAAAATTTTTTTTCACATTTTTTCAAATTTTTTACAAATCTCGCAATCTTTAAGACCAAGAAAACGTGTACCTTAAGTATGTTTTGGAATTTTGGAACTTTATAAGGTATGATATACCTGAAACCTCAGTAGGTATGAAATACATCTGTTATGTACATGTCGGTACGGTCGTTATGTACGGTCGGTTTTGAATGTAGGGTTTATCCCGGGGGAAATATGTGTATCTCCCTCGGTCCTGTGGTCCCTCGAGAGATACACATATTTCCCTTGGGATAAAACCTGTATCCAAAACCTCCCAGTACATAACCCTTATATATGGCTCCTTATGTGTTCACTGCACACAGGTTTTACTGTATTATACTTCATACAGGATTTGCATCTAAGTTAGTTTTTTGGAGGATGATTTTTCAAAATATCATGATTTTTCAAACATAAAGTGACTCAATGCGTACTTTTCAGTGTTTTTTGTTTATTTTTCAGTCTATCTGTCAATCAAATACGCCACCCATCTATTCAATTAATTATTTATATTATATCGTATTTGGGGATTCCCCATTATACGTTCTCCAATCAAATTGCAGGATGTGATCACGTGAACAATCATGAGCATGCATGTGCTTTCTCAGTTCAACATCATCATTTCAAAACTACGGTTATACTTTTGAAGTTACTCGATCCAAACTTTCAGAGAATACTCATAAAACACAAACGAATATTGAGAGATCCATTTCAATGGCAATGAGGCCTGTTAATAAAATTGGTTATCGAGCGTGCCAATATGAAAAATGATCTTTGGGAAATCTGCCCCCCCCCACCCCCTGAGCAGTTATAAATGTTTGTATTTTTCTCATTTACTTGCAGTATTAGATAGGGTTGTTGTATATCAAAGTAATTGACATTATTACAATGTATACTGTATTCCACATGTTGTTATTCTTCTAAATTATAAACTTCCAGTCATCACAATGACATTATTTGGTCAAAACACATCATTTGGAGGGACAAGCTCTGTGTTTGGTGCTACATCTACTGCACAGTCTGCCAATTACAACCCTATGAAAGATGTTGAAGTAACCTCACCACCTGATGATAGCGTCAGTTCACTTGCCTTCAGTCCCGCCAGTTGTCCATCTACATTTCTTGTTGCCGGGAGCTGGGATAATAATGTAAGTTATATTTGCATATAGGTTGGTTTAAAAGTTGATTTTTTGGAGAAAATATCTTGTAACTTTTGGCTTTGGAATTGGCCACTCATTCATATGTCTGTCTGCTCACCAATCTGAATTTTTCATATGAATATGAAATATGAAATACCCCAGTTCTTTACCCTTTGCATTCGTTTGACTTCACTTCTTAAAAGAGAGCTTCGTCTTCACTCTTTCAAACTAAAATAAACCTGTGAACTCACCGGGCCAGTCAGTGTTCGTTGGCCAAATTTGACCGACTATCTTTATATGGTCATTCCTTCTGACGTCATCGTCGAGCCCGGAATTGACTAATGACATGCACATATTTAATTAGAACGCATTTGGCGTATGTTTCTTTAAGCTCACTGATTGGTGGAAGGTCAGCGCGTAGGTCAAAGGTGATGTAGCCAAACTGTCACCGGTACCCGTCGTGGGGGCGGGGCTACTAAACTGTAATATGGTCTCTACTAGGCAGAGTGTAGTTTAACTAGACTCTGCACGCAGGCTACCAGTTCTTCATTTTGCCTCATTTTTGAGAAATCTTTTTTTGTCTTAAAATATCACATTTTTGACAATAAATGAGTCTGTATCACATATTTTTTTCCAGGTTTTAGTTTTCTCTTTTGTAATATAACTCACACAATTCTTTGCAATGAGCTAATTCTATTGATCATATTTAATTATCCTCTATATTGACTTTCCATGGCATTTTTGTAATTTGGCCTACTTTTGCAATTTGACATAATTCTGCAATTTGACATATACTTTAAAAATTAGCCATCAAAAGACTATGAATGTCCAAAGAAGCTTTCTAAACTATACTTTCAAAGCATATAATTGTTGACTTATGAATGAAAGAATTGGCATATAAAGGAATCATCATGTGAGCCCACTAAATTTTTAAAAACAAAATAGACCCACTTTTGAAAATTATGTCTATTTTAAAAAAGATGTGGCCAGTCTTAGAAAGTTAGGCCCAAAAGGCCAGAGTGTAGGCAGGCCCTGTATTCCCCTTAGATTAATGTTCATGATGTCAGATGAATCTTTTGGTGAACATTTTGAAAATAGAATGATATTAATCAGTTGTCCCTTTGAAGGTGCACAGTAGCCACAACATCTTTATTTTTTAATCTTAGGCAAGATGTTGGGAGGTGCAAGCAAATGGTAATACAACCCCTAAGGCCCAACAGACACACACAGGCCCAGTGTTAGATATATGCTGGAGTGATGATGGCACTAAGGTCTTTACAGCTTCAGCAGACAAACAGGCAAAAATGTGGGATCTCAATACAAACCAGGCGGTTCAAATAGCTCAGGTAAACAAATACCACTGTTGAGCAGGGACACAAATTCAAAGTACTATATTCACACTATTAAGTGTCAACAACATGAACCTAAGGCTACTATTGGCATGCGGGCAGGTGCAATATAAATCAAACCTTGTCATCAAACTTCCAGGAAAACTGCTTACCTGTTCAGCTTGGCATTTTTCTAGATGCAAGAGCATTGCCAGATCTCATTATTCGGTTCTGGGAATGCTTGTAAATTATTTGATGGCCATTTTAAATTTTGGTGGCCATAAATCTTATCATTTAAATTCCAGAAAAAACACGTTTTGTTCAATTTGAAATTTTTAAATATATAAGAGCAGATCTGTTTAGGTTTTTGGGCATGCTGGGTAAATTACTTGGTGGCCAGACCAGACAAGTGCCAACATTTGATTAGGTTTTAGGCATTCTGGGTAAATTACAAGGTGGCCAATTATTTGGTTGCTTTTTCTGTACAGATCTCTCGTTCTTGTCATCTGACAAAAATATATACCTCATTTGCAAGTTCAACCAACAGTCTGTTTACCAACAATACACTTTTCTGTATCAAAATGAATATTTTATAATTTCAGCATGATGCTCCTATAAAGACAATACACTGGGTGAAGGCACCTAACTACACATGTGTCATGACAGGAAGTTGGGACAAAACGTTAAAGGTACAACCCCTCTTTCTCTAATGCTGCATTTTTATTATTTTATGTTGAATTAAGTTGAGGGGCCTTAGAAATAAGCTGTACAATGATGCAGTCACCATGTAAAACATATGATAATTGGTTATCATACTTTGAATTACTAGTGAGTGGTAGGGATTAACAAAATTTCAGTCTAATCTCTATACATGTATGTCTTCCAAGATACAGAGGCAAGGTGCAATGGTCTTTTCCTTGAGGAGATTGTGAGTCTAGATTTGATTTGATCTGTATGAAAGGTATACAAAACCTGCATTTGCTATAAAAGGTGTACAAAACCTGCATTTGCTATAAAAGGTATACAAAACCTGCATTTGCTATAAAAGGTATACAAAACCTGCATTTGCTATAAAAGGTATACAAAACCTGCATTTGCTATAAAAGGTATACAAAACCTGCATTTGCTATAAAAGGTATACAAAAACTGCAATTGCGATAAAAGGTATACAAAACCTGCATTTGCTATGAAAGGTATACAAAAACTGCATTTGCTATAAAAGGTATACAAAACCTGCATTTGCTATAAAAGGTATACAAAACCTGCATTTGCTATAGAAGGTATACAAAACCTGCATTTGCTATAAAAGGTATACAAAAACTGCAATTGCGATAAAAGGTATACAAAACCTGCATTTGCTATGAAAGGTATACAAAAACTGCATTTGCTATAAAAGGTATACAAAACCTGCATTTGCTATAAAAGGTATACAAAACCTGCATTTGCTATAGAAGGTATACAAAACCTGCATTTGCTATAGAAGGTATACAAAACCTGCATTTGCTATAGAAGGTATACAAAACCTGCATTTGCTATAGAAGGTATACAAAAACTGCAATTGCGATAAAAGGTATACAAAACCTGCATTTGCTATGAAAGGTATACAAAAACTGCATTTGCTATAAAAGGTATACAAAACCTGCATTTGCTATAAAAGGTATACAAAACCTGCATTTGCTATAGAAGGTATACAAAACCTGCATTTGCTATAAAAGGTATACAAAAACTGCATTTGCTATAAAAGGTATACAAAACCTGCATTTGCTATAAAAGGTATACAAAACCTGCATTTGCTATAGAAGGTATACAAAACCTGCATTTGCTATAAAAGGTATACAAAAACTGCAATTGCGATAAAAGGTATACAAAACCTGCATTTGCTATGAAAGGTATACAAAAACTGCATTTGCTATAAAAGGTATACAAAACCTGCATTTGCTATAAAAGGTATACAAAACCTGCATTTGCTATAGAAGGTATACAAAACCTGCATTTGCTATAGAAGGTATACAAAACCTGCATTTGCTATAGAAGGTATACAAAACCTGCATTTGCTATAGAAGGTATACAAAAACTGCAATTGCGATAAAAGGTATACAAAACCTGCATTTGCTATGAAAGGTATACAAAAACTGCATTTGCTATAAAAGGTATACAAAACCTGCATTTGCTATAAAAGGTATACAAAACCTGCATTTGCTATAGAAGGTATACAAAACCTGCATTTGCTATAAAAGGTATACAAAAACTGCATTTGCTATAAAAGGTATACAAAACCTGCATTTGCTATAAAAGGTATACAAAACCTGCATTTGCTATAGAAGGTATACAAAACCTGCATTTGCTATAAAAGGTATACAAAAACTGCATTTGCTATAAAAGGTATACAAAACCTGCATTTGCTATAGAAGGTATACAAAGAAGGTATATAGAAGGTATGCATTTGTTTCTATAGTTCTAGGCCAAATCATAAAAGAGGCAGTCACATGGAGAATGATAAAAAGGTTGTCAATCTTGGCTCTAGAAGTCCATAAACTTGATTTTTATTAAAATGTTATTGTTTTATTGAGATCCCATTTCCCTTTTTATGGTTAGTCGTAAGAGACACTCCCCAATAAATCATTTTAAAAATAGTGTAATCTTTTATTTTCTAGTTTTGGGATACAAGGTCACCTAATCCTATGATGTCAATAGATTTACCAGAGAGGGCCTACTGTGCTGATGTTGTAAGTAAAGCGCTTTTCTTAGTAGATTTACCAGTCCCAACACTAACTGATTTAATATCTAATGGACCTCTCTATAAGTGGAACACCTCCCAAGTGGAACACTTTTTAGATGTACCAAAGGTTATATAGTTCTTAATAAGTATTTGCTGCTTGTTACTCAGCTATGCATTTATACATAATTGTAATTTGCGACCTTTTTTCCTAGATACCTGACCTGACCAGGGTGTCTTTCTGCTAGTTGATAAGGGTACATACTACCAGTGTGCAATATCAGAAGGATCCTTATTTCAGCGCAGGCTCTAATAATAACACAAAAATTATTAGTAAGTTTTCATTAATTTCCCAAATCAATTACTTATCCATTTTGTGTCATGTTGCAGCTATATCCAATGGCAGTTGTAGGCACAGCTAATAGACAGCTTGTTATCTACCAGCTAGAGAATCAACCATCACAGTTTAAAGTCATAGATTCCCCCCTGAAATATCAGGTAAGCTTCTAACTTGTTGCAGTGAATAGTGAAATATCAAATAAGTTTTTAACCTGTAACTACTGTGTCCAGGGAGGGGGGGCATAGAAATTTTGTAGGGCCTCAAAAATGGGCTTTCTTGGGATAATTTGTCCTTTTTAGGCCTTTTCAATATATGGGCCTTAAATTTTCAAAATTTGGGCTTCTGGATCTGCCACTTATGTCACTAACTTGTATCAATGCACAAGTATATGTCACTAACTTGTAACAATGCACAAGTAAGCTTCCAATCTGTAACAGTGAATGATTGAATAAAGAGTTTCTAACATGTAGCAATGAACAGCAAAATGTCGATTATCTTTTTAACTTGAAGCAGAGAACAGCGAAATATCTAGTATGTTTCTAATGTGAATAGATTTGAACATGCAATATTGTGGGTGAGAATGCTGTGAGCTAATTAAATGTGTTTTCCTGAATCATTATCCCACCAAACATAGGTTTGTGATGGATATAGAAAAGTAATCTATTCCTTTGTCCATCCGTCTGTCCGTCTGTTCATTAGTCTGTCCAGACGGTTACTAAATAAAGGTTGACAGATATGATTCAAATTATATAGGCTCATACCTTTTGGTCATAAGGCCTCTGCTTGAGGAGAATTTTTTAATACGACTGCACAATTCAAAATTGCGGAAATCAAATTCATGAGCTCTGAAGCCATTGGTTGGATTTTGTTCAAATTTTAAAGGCTAATATCAAGTGGGTATAGGGCCTCTACCTCTTATATGGTATCAAGTCATGTCATGAGTGCAGATTTTGCCAAATACATATACTACGGCCTGTTCAAAATGATGAGTAATTTGATGAAACATGTTTTTTCAGTCGGGGATCTGTTACTCCATGGAGTTGCTGTTTTTCTAGTTGACATTGAATGGCATTACTTAAACATTATCACCCATTTGAATAAAATATATTAAATTTATTATTGAATATATATATATATTATAGAATTTTAGTTTTAGGCCTCCAGCTACCTTAAAGGAGTCATCAGTATTTGAACCGGCCCATCATTATTTTTCCTTTATTTGTACATTGCAGCATCGATGTGTCAGTATATTCAATGACAAGAAGAACAACAGTCCAGTTGGTTTTGCACTAGGGAGTATAGAAGGAAGGGTGGCCATTCACTATGTTAATCCTACCAATCCTAAAGACAATTTCACATTCAAATGCCACAGATCCAATGGTTCAACTGCAGGAGTACAAGATATTTATGCTGTAGGTATTTTGAATTAAGGTTGCTAATCTCTCTAATTTTTTTTGCCTCATGCTTCGTTTCTTATCTAACGATAGTAAACTACAAAGTAGTTTGTCTACATTTTTAATGATGATAATTTTCAACAATTGGCATTGGGCATAAACATTAACAAATGTCAATATGAACTAAATGTATTTGATTTTATATACATTGTTCATGTTTATGTACTGTTAAGTCATCTTCACAAACTATTCTAAACAATATGATGATTTGATGATATTTTAAAGAATGGCTTCAATTTCAGGATTTTAGATAACACACTTTATCCTATGCCAAGTAGAGTTTTAGGGAGATAAGTTGGTAAGATATATCCCGTATATTGATTTTGAGGTTTCCATATCCAGAACCTCCATATCTCCCGCCATATCTCCCACTTCGGTGCATATCTTCCGGCATCTGGTGCATATCTTCCCGCTTCCGGTAATGCAATAAAATGACTTTGCATATGAATGATTTGTTTATTTTTACACCTTGAACTATTGAAATGGCCATATGCCAGAGAACTCTTCTTGGTATAGGATAAAGCAGTTATGTACGGTCGGTTTGGATATTGGGTTCATCCCTCGTGAGATTTGCACATCTACCTTCGGTCCCTACGGTCCCTTAGGTAGATATGCATATCTCCCTCGGGATAAACCCCATATCCAAAACCTCCCAGTACATAACCCTTATTTACTTCTGACTGATTTTATATTCCCTGGGTCAATGATATAGCCTTTTATCCAGTACATGGCACTTTATCAACTGTTGGACCAACTTCTGACTGATTCTATATTCCCCAGGTCAATGATATAGCCTTTCATCCAGTACATGGCACTTTATCAACTGTTGGATCTATTTCTGACTGATTCTATACTCCCCAGGTCAATGATATAGCCTTTCATCCAGTACATGGCACTTTATCAACTGTTGGACCAACTTCTGAATGATTCTATATTCCCCAGGTCAATGATATAGCCTTTCACCCAGTACATGGCACTTTATCAACTGTTGGATCTATTTCTGACTGATTCTATACTCCCCAGGTCAATGATATAGCCTTTCATCCAGTACATGGTTCTTTATCAACTGTTGGATCTATTTCTGACTGATTCTATATTCCCCAGGTCAATGATATAGCCTTTCATCCAGTACATGGCACTTTATCAACTGTTGGATCTATTTCTGACTGATTCTATATTCCCCAGGTCAATGATATAGCCTTTCATCCAGTACATGGCACTTTATCAACTGTTGGATCTATTTCTGACTGATTCTATATTCCCCAGGTCAATGATATAGCCTTTCATCCAGTACATGGCACTTTATCAACTGTTGGATCTGATGGCAGATTCAGCTTCTGGGACAAAGATGCAAGGACAAAACTTAAGACGTCGGAACAAGTAGATCAGCCAATCAGTGCTTGTGCTTTCAATGCTCAAGGCCAGATATTTGCATACACGTCAAGTTATGATTGGTCTAAGGTATGATTATGTGAACGGGTGCAAGAAAAAGTGAAGAGGATAAGCAATTTGTAAAGTCAGTGGATATGAAGTTATTGCAATAAAGGCAATAAAAACAAACAAACACTTTATTCTTGTTGGAACAAATATCTAAATAGGCGAAGATCAGTGTGTATGTATACCTACAGATATGTATACTGGAATACATGTTACTTTCTTTTACACGTTAAGTTTGCTAATATTTGATTTTGATTATATTCATTGAATTTACATTTTTCAGACTAATTTTACCAATAGACTCACTGGAGTGTTGAATTCATTACACATAAAATACTGAAAAAATTAGAAGTCATGAAATTGATATGCTTGAATTGAATTCAACATGTTTAATGGTAGCTGTACAATGGTAAAATTCTTATGGGTGTTTTTTAAGAGAGAATAAGATCTAGCGAGCAGCCTAACAAAAATTGTTTCAATTTAGAATATTTCTGGCTTATGTCATTCCTTTTCATGTCTATTTTCTTAAAATCCCCAAAGTGAAGAATGGTTACCATTCTTATTATTTGGGACAATTCAAACATTTTTCACCCATTTCTGCACTTTGAATCCATTATAACTTCAAAAATTAATAACATATCGTGAATCTTTTGGGAGATATTGTATTTGATATTGTAAGGAATAGATTGGTAGGTCAATTGTACATGTTGCTTGTAATTTTGTCACCCTCATAGATCTGATTCTGCCTTTAAGTATATACGTCCACTCCCATGACGCCTTTGTAAACCATTGTTGTTTTAACTTTCAGGGACATGAAGGATTTGATCCACAGAAAATGAAGCCAAGAATATTCCTACGCTCATGTTACGATGAACTTAAGCCTAGCAAGAAGAAATGAAATGCGGCCGAGGCCCGTACTGATTTGGATCTAGAGACGGGCCGACCAAGCCCATCGAGGCAACGTCACAATAGCAACTGACCAGTCTCGGCCCGATTCTATCTCTGGTACCAAACCCAGTCACATTCTATTCTTCTCATTTTTAAATCTGGCCACTTTTCCTGTATCAGATGCAAATTAGGAAATGTGCAGAACTTGACTGAATACAATAGGGTTGTTCAAAAAATTTTGTACAAAGATCTCTAATTATAAAAATAATGGACCAATCTTGTTAGTTGGTACATACATGCCTTACTCCATTACGCTGTCAAGGTTTCAAGTATATATGTTTATTTCTTAATAGTTAAGGGTTGCTATGTCTTTAGGAACTGAATGGAATGCCACAAGTAATGCATTACTACAAAGGAAGACTACATATTTACTATGTATTTTGGTTAAAATAAATCATTTATAACATAACCTGACTGACAGTTGAAAGAACAAAGATTAAACAGACTATTTCAGCCTATCAAGACATTCACAAAATTTACATAACTCAGTGACATCATATTTAGAGCCATTGGTTCAGTTTTTAGTCACTGGATCTCAGGATTTACATTGCAGATGGTCCTGAAATTTTTGATATAAATATAAGATATCCTTGTTAGATTTCAAATACAAATAATAAAATCTCTTCTCTCATGCAAAACTATTTGAACGACCCTTGTAGAAAAAAGATGGTAGCACTATATTGAATTTTGGGCAAATCATTTTGTGAGAAGTTAATCATATAAAGTGGATGGGGGAGTGCTTGTTATCTACTAATTACATTTATTGTGCAATCCAATATTATTGGACAGTTAAAAGCATTTGTAATTTTGTAACATATTCAGAAATATCATAGAATATTGATCTTTCTTAAAATCATTCCCGAAATGGATACCTTTCTTACCTTTAGTCCTGATCTATGATGGCAGAATCTGTTTCAAATTTCTTCAACTTTTACTTGATTTACATCTGGGAGTTACCAATAAGGTAATTCAAGTTCTAGAATTCAATGGACAGATCAGAAAAGATCCATGGTTTTAGATATAAGGTCGGGCTGAGGCTGGTACTTCATGTACAAAAATACATATACAGACTGACATAATTTGAAACCTCAGTAACACTGTATATTAAATCAGCTGGATTTCTATATTGGATTAACCTGTGAGATGTCAGTGGATTTCTATATTGGATTAACCTGTGAGATGTCAGTGGATTTCTATATTGGATTAACCTGTGAGATGTCAGTGGATTTCTATATTGGATTAACCTGTGAGATGTCAGTGGATTTCTATGAGAGGCTTAGAGTATCATAATTCTCCATGCAGGAACATGCAGAAACTTGTAACAAGACATTATATAGTGAACTTCTGAATATCTTGAAGTCTCACTCAAAAAATAGAACATTTCATATTTTCACCTTCATAGAGAAATATTGATATTTCCATCTGGTAGATTGTAAATATAAGGTAGCCAAGTCTGATATCATGCAGACAGTAAATAATTGATGTATTTGATTCACATAGGGAAAGGGTACAACTCTATGTGTCAAATTGTAAGATGACAAACATACAATTTGTGTAAGGTGAAGAATGTTCAATTTGTGTTCAATGTTTCTGCCTCTGACTTTGTGCCACTTGAAGTACCACCAGCAAGATTTGAATTGGGTAAGTTCCCTGATTTGTGTCAGTAGTTGAATCTCTGAATATAGTTTAGGTGTGGTATGGTGTGGTCCATATTTGGAACAATAAGTACAGTACTTATTTGTTGCTGGTTTTAAAGGTATCCACAACTTTGACATTAATATTTTGGATTGGAGTGTCCATTTATCCTGGATTCTTGTAAAAGTTCAATGATTATCCCATCGAACGAAGTTCGGAGGGATATAGGGAACGCCTCCGTCCGTCCGTACGTCCGTACGTCCGTCCGTCCGTCCGTCCGGGCAATAACTCAAATACCGTTGGCCCTATGGGGGTAGAAGTTCTGCTCGAAAGCCGATTTTCAAAATGGCCGCTCATTTCAAAATGGCGGCCATTTTAGTGACGATTTTACAGTAATTTAGGTGCAATATGTAAAACTGTAATAGCAATATGTTTTAAATGTAAAAAAATTATAATGGACATTAATAATGCTACAAATGTAGATATTAAAGAAGCACATGGCAGCCATCTTGAAAAATGGCGGCCTTTACTTGTCATTTTATGATTTTTGCTGTAACTCAAAAAATAGTGGAGCGATTTTGTTCTATTTGGTATGTGAATACTATAAGCATTGCACACTGTCTAAAGACACTTTTGGTAGAAGGCAGCCATTTTGAAAACAATTTTGAAAAATGGCCACCATTTTAACGTATTTTACCATAACTTGAAAAGTAGTGGAGCGATTTTGTTCATATTTGGTATGTGAATACTATAAGCATGGCCCACTGTCTATTTTTAATGACGCTTTTGGTAGAAGGTGGCCATTTTGAAAAATGGCCGCCATTTTAACGTATTTTACTATAACTCGAAAAGTAGTGGAGCGATTTTGTTCATATTTAATTTTATATGTGAATACTTTAAGCATGGCACATTGTCTAATAAAACTTTGGGGTGTAGTCGGCCATTTTGAAAAATGGCCACCATTTTTATGTGTGTTATTTTATAAGTACGTGTGCGATTTTTCCAAAATTTTAGAGGAGCATATTATTTCTTCTGATGACTTGGCTAGTGAGCAACCATTTTGAAAATGGTGGCCTTTCTGGTTTGTTGTTTTATGATATTTGCGCTTCGTTTGTAAAAATGCCAGCCATTTCTGTTCGATGGGATTCGCTACGCTTTGGCGTTGCCGTTGTTCTGGTTATTTTCCAAATCATGAACAGATTTGTGTATCATTAAATAAAGGGATATATCATGTATATTATAGCATAATATTATACTGATGCTGTTTCCTGGACAATCTTGTACTTTCGTAATATTTTAAAAGCATTTCAAATGGGATTAATCAAGGGTAATAGAGAGATATATGTATATTGATTCTGAATTATATTGGTGCAGCACTGGTGGGAAGTGCTCTGTCTATCCACTATATGGTAATATTGTGTACATGTATATGCCAAATAGTTCAAATATATTTTGTAAAAAGTGAATACAATTGTTAGTATTTGTGTGCTGCTTGCACTGATTATTACCCTTGTATTATAGTCCTTGCCCTTATTGTCCATGCACCTCATAGTCCTTTTCAATCCTTGTCCCTTATACATGAACTATGGAGTACACCGACTTTGTGATACACGGACCACACTGTACAAGAACTTTATGATACATAGACCACAAGAACTATGTGATACATGGATTATGAAGTACAGGGACTATGTCAAATATGGAGAACAAGGAGTAGCCCTTGTACACCACAGAACATGAATCACACAGTTCTTGTACTTTGTAGTCCATATCACAAAGTCCTCATTATATGATCAATTCTCATTTTAAAAAAAGGGTGTTATATCACAGTTTTTGTACTTCATGGTCTGTGTGTCACATAGTCCTTGTACTTCATAGTCTACATCACAAAGTCCTTGTACTTCATAGTCTATATATCATAGTTTTTGTACTTCATAGTCCATATCACAAAGTCCTTGAACATCATAGTCCACATCACAAAGTCCTTGTACTTCATAGTCCATATCACAAAGTCCTTGTACTTCATAGTCCATATCACAAAGTCCTTGTACTTCATAGTCCATATCACAAAGTCCTTGTACTTCATAGTCCATATCACAAAGTCCTTGTACTTCATAGTCCATATCACAAAGTCCTTGTACTTCATAGTCCACATCACAAAGTCCATGTACTTCATAGTCCATATCCCAAAGTCCTTGTACCTCATAGTCCATGCATTGCATAGTCCTTGTACTTCATAGTCCATATCACAAAGTCCTTGTACTTCATAGTCCATATCACAAAGTCCTTGTACTTCATAGTCCACATCACAAAGTCCATGTACTTCATAGTCCATATCCCAAAGTCCTTGTACCTCATAGTCCATGCATTGCATAGTCCTTGTACTTCACAGCCCATACCACAAACTCCTTATACTACATAGTCCATGTATCACATAGTCCTTGTATTCCATACTCCATGTTTTACATAGACCTTGTACTTCATAGTCCTTAAATCACAAAGGTCTTGAACTCCATAGTCCAAGGACTATGTGATACATGGGCTATGAAGTACAAGCACCTTTATGATACATGGACTATGAAGTACAAAGACTTTGTGATACATGGACTATGAAGCTCAATGACTGTGATATTGACTATATAGGCTATAGTGTCATATATGGACTATTAGTACAAGGACTATGTGATAAATGGACTATTAACTATGCAGACTATTTGATATGTGGACCAATAACTATAGGATATATGGATTGTGAGATCCAAGGACCTTGTGATATATTGACTATTAAGTATGAGGACTATGTGATAAATGGACCATGATGTACAAGAACTATGTAATATATGGACTATAAAGGACTGTGTGATAAATGGAGTATGAAGTACAAGGACTATGCCATACATCATGGAGCATGAAGTACAAAGACTTTGTGATCCATAAACTATCGAGTACACGGATGTTGTGATATGGACTATGGTGTATAAGGACTGTGTGGTGCATGAACTATCGAGTACGCAGACTTTGTGATATGGACTATGGTGTATAAGGTCTGTGTGATGCATGAACTATCGAGTACACAGACTTTGTGATATGGACTATGGTGTATAAGGACTGTGTGATGCATGAACTATCGAGTACATGGACTTTTTGATATGGACTATGGTGTATAAGGACTGTGTGATGCATGAACTATCGAGTACACAGACTTTGTGATATGGACTATGGTGTATAAGGACTGTGTGATGCATGAACTATCGAGTACACAGACTTTGTGATATGGACTATAAGGACTGTGTGGTGCATGAACTATCGAGTACACAGACTTTGTGATATTGACTATAAGTACTGTGTGGTGCATGAACTATCGAATACACGGACTTTGTGATATGGACTATGGTGTATAAGGACTGTGTGATGCATGAACTATCGAGTACACTGACTTTGTGATATGGACTATGGTGTATAAGGACTGTGATGCGTGAACTATCGAGTACACATATTTTGTGATATGGACTATGGTGTATAAGGACTGTGTGGTGCATTGACTATCGAGTACACAGACTTTGTGATATGGACTATGGTGTATAAGGACTGTGTGATGCATGAACTATCGAGTACACATATTTTGTGATATGGACTATGGTGTATAAGGACGGTGTGGTGCATGGACTATCGAGTACACAGACTTTGTGATATGGACTATGGTGTAT